GTTTATGCCGATCTCACTTCACGCCTTGCCTTAACCCAAGAGTTCGAGAACTGCGAACATCTAACCACGAAAAGATATTGAGGAATACAAAGAGATGGGGAGTTGTCGTGAAGGAAGTGATCGTGTCGGCCATCGAAGCTGAGCATCGCCAACCTTGCACCCGCAACACTACAAACACTTCAAGCTCCTTAAACAAAGAAATGCACTTTTCAGTTCTTGCCAATGCCGCCTTTGCCAGCTCGGCGTTGCCAGTCCCCTCACTCGCCTCGGCCATTGCTCCCCGTCAAGAGAGTGCTTGCCTGACCAGGGCCGAAGCCAAAGACATCGTGGACATCTACGTCCAACTGATCGCCAACTACACGGACGATGTATGCGCCAAGTACTGCGCCTCGGACTTTGTCGACCGATCCGACAGCATCAACACCTTCATCTTCATGCCTCTCGGGGAACCGACCTTTGCAACCAAGGAGATCTTCATGTCGGCGCAAAACGCGAACCCGCCCTTCCCGGTCGTCGTCGACAGCATCGACGCCATCGACTGCGAAGCCGTCGCGCTCCGTTGGCACGCCACGTTTGGCGCCGCCAACCTCCCCAGCAAGGGCATCACAATCATCGGCACGACCAAGCGTGAAGGGTATGCGCAGATCAAGAGCCTCGATGTCGAGTTCAACAGCTTGATCTGGCTCCTTAACATGGGTGGGAAGTACGAAGGGCAAATGTCATGTGAGGGGCATCAAGAACGCAGATCTGGATCCGGACGCTCGTCTTCGCCACATGGAATTCAATGGTCGGTTTCACGATCGGAAAGGTGAGAGTCGAAAGACGGCGCAAAATCAGGATGTTCTTTGCTTGACAAGTGTGGGATGGAGGTAATTTGGAAACAATGCATCTGGTATAATAGGTCAACAGCCTCACCAACCGAGACGTCACCCTCGAGGTGATATTGTTGAGGGGTAGGTAAAACCTAGAGATAGGTATTACTGCGGTTATTTACATTCAATGTTTTATTTCCATGCTTGTTGCCGTTGTTGGTATCGCCGTACCTGGACTGTAGGGCTGCATGGTGACATGTGGGACGACATCGGGGAATCGCAGGTTTGATTGGGGGCGTTTGCCAGAGACAATTAAATTATGGTCTCGACTTTCGGTGACACGGCCTTGGCGATGAAGAAGAGAAAGTGTCATGAGTCGCTGGAATTTTGAATGTCTGCAGAATTCAACTTTTACCAACAAGGGATGCTTGGATAAGGTTCCATACTAAGTGGAAGCTTTTTGTCAGCGGTAAGACGGCTTGGGAGGTCGTGCGAGATACCAACGGACTGGATCTCGAAAACAATGACTTCGAAGTGCCCTGCATGGGGATGGGGTAAAGCGCTTGATGAGGCGCCTGAGCTGGGAGATTGAGAGTTAGGAATGGATGAGGCCACTTCCTTCATGCTGCGTCATAGCTCTGATGCTGATGATGATATATGTCGCATGCCCGAAGGATTATAATACCTCCAACTTTGCCGAGTCCCTTGAGGAAGTGTCACGCCATTGCATTCCATTCATACGTGCCTCGATCATGGATGGAATCTAATATGAAATCATGCTCCGGCTTGCGGGCAAACCTAAGGATAAGACGTGCCGTCTTGGCCGCCAATCACGGAAGGAGAGAAACGCCTGGCAGGTTGAGAAGAACGGTTGCTGGGTTGAGAACTTGCGATCAGATACCCTGAGCGAGAGGTGCGGTTAGCAGGTTCCACTCTGCAGGAGTTAGGCTGCTTGCAACCCTTGCATATACTCAGGCTTCTACGCGTTTGATTGGTCTGCCCCTGACAGTAACCAATCGGGTCCCGGCTCATCTCCCCTTTTTTACACTACACTAAATTTGAAGGTTCTGCTGACTCGCCCTCGCAACTCGCCAGGCTCGCAAATGCCTACTCATTATGAAAGGGGACTTCTGGACAAGACTGCCTGTTGTCCAAGATTTTACGCGACCATAAAGTTTCGGCGCTCGAGTGCTTGTATAGCCTGGTGATGTGATCGAGACGACTCTAGCCACTCAATTGCCGGCGAAGGCAACTCTACAGCTGCCCGGCCTTCGTTTGTTTGGCTTGTGGGTTGCCTCTTAGACATTCTCCGCTGGGATCATGTGCACATCTTCCACCCATCCTTCTGGGATACAGATCGACCCTGGAACGGGCAGTCGGTAGGCTACACAGAGATCCCAAACGCACAGCATCTCGCGTCATGTCCATTCCAATGTCATGCCGAGTATCTTCAAGGACAACGGACGTATTTCGTCTAAATTACCAAAATGATGCTTTTCCCGCGCCGGAAAGGTGTCAACCCCACAGCGTGAAATGGTGAAACTGGAGCGCTTCTAAGGTTACCCGCTCAGCCCGTCCACTTGGATCCCTTTCCCAACGGATTTCTTGGGACCCCGGACTGCCTGGCCGAAATGAAGGGACCCCATGGATATCCAGATTCCTGAATTTCCGTGGCTGCAGAGGAAGCCTGGGAATCAAAAAGCGGCAAAGGGGCGTGTGAAGGGTTTCATTGGCATAATATGCAGCGCCTGTAAGCTTGTTCATTTTGTATGTCGTTAGTGCAGCGTTGCACCGAGGAAAACCTTCACTTGTCCCATTTCAGTATTTTCTCATATTTCCGCCTTTCCCCTCTCACCTTCGCTCTCCCTTCGTCCTTCCATTCTTTTCGGCTTCGTCTCTTCATTCCACGTTTGTGTTTCTGCTTCAGCTCGTGGTCATCGTCGCCGTCGCCATTCGTTTACGAAACATATACAACAGTCACTCATTTGATCAGTCTTGCTCTTCACTGCCTCTATAGCCTTCCGGTCCTTTTCACATTTCTGTCATCGAACCAATTAGTGGCCAAGTCCCGGCAAAAGTCAACACATCCACCAACCAAGCCACCAGCTCGATATTACCATTCAAAATGCGTTTCTCCGTCGCCGCCGTCCTCGCTATTGCGACCGCCGTCTTTGCCCAGACCGATGGCTTTGATGTCATCTCCAACCCATATGCCGGTGAAAAGGTGCTTGCTGGTCTGCCCTGTGAGATCAAATGGGCGCCTTCGTCCGACCCGAAATTCCAGGGTACCGTCCGTATCGATGTCCTTGGAGGCACCACCCCTCAGACGCTGGACAAGGTTGGAACTGTTGCCTGTGAGTAGCCATGGTCTTGTCCACGAAACCAGAGGAAGAGTACTAATCGAGATCTCTCAGCGGGCGTTGACAGCAGCAAGGGTTCTTACAAGTGGATGGTCGACGCTCACCTAGGCAAGGCCAACACCTACGGTATTCAGATCACCTTGGAGTCCAATGAGAAGGTCTTCCAGTACTCATTCCCCTTCCACATCATTGGCGGCCTTGCCGACTCTGGTGATGCCACCACCGTCACTGTTCCCACTACCGCTGCCGCTGGCACCGCTAAGCCTCTGACCGTCGCCGCTCCTGCCACCACCAAGGCTGCCATCACTACCACCAAGGCCTCCGATGCCGCTGATGCCGCCCAGACCACCGCCAACGCCGCTGCTGGTGCCGCCTCCGGCTCTGCCGGCGACTCCTCCGCCTCCGGCGCCGTTTCCTCCTTCAGCACCGTCGTCGGTAGCTCCTCTGCTTCCGTCGAGGCTTCTGCCACCTCTTCTGACGTCGTCGCTACCGCTTCTGCTTCTTCCACTGGCGCTGTTGCCACTGGCGGTGCTGCTGCCTTTGGCGCCAGCACCGGTGCTCTCTTCGGCGGTGTCGCCATGGCCCTCTTCGCTCTCTAAAAGAGGACGTTTTGGGCTCTGATACCCAAAGTTGGAAAGGAGGTTGTTTTTGTCTTGTTTGATTTTGCATACGCTCGGTATTACGATGAATACCAGCTGTTTGATTGAAGAAGAAGAAGGGCATAATTTAGACCCGGGGAGGGAAAAGAAAAGTATGGATTGTACTTGAAGATATCCCGGACGTTCTTGTAAATGATCACCGAGACCTTGAGGTCATTAATCGAGCGGAATCTGCTTCATACAAAAGAAACCGAGATAACGACGTATGCTCCTGGTCTTTTCGTTGGCTTGGATTTGTTCGGTGTGATATGCGCGTATGTTGAATTTCGATTGGATGAGTTGTATTCGGGCGTCGCCCTTCATTGGCGTATCAGTAATGGTGCTCTCTACACGTTGTTAGCCTTTCTTTGTATGCTGGTATCGCCAATGAACGATGCATGACTTCAACCAGTGATCACATATCGACTGAGGATATGATCGTTCTCGCCAGGGACGTTTCGCAAAGTCAAATATTGAATCGCCGGCGATCAGTCTCACGTGGGAAATCCCAAGATACCATGGAGTGCATGTTTAAACATTGAAAGCAACAAGCCGACTGCTTAAATTATATCCACAATCACGGTGGGCTAGCGCAATGTACCAAGGCCCGGCATCTCCAGTTAGGTTTATGAAAGAAGTCCTCTCATACAGAGGGTCAAAATGGTGCGTGGTTCCTTGCATTTATTCCATGTTGTGCATCCTCCTCCCGACTGAACTTCCTCCGAAAAGCACGCTGCACGGGTGATCTCCAAATATGTAAGCACAGACCACCAAAGCTTGAAGATGCCAAGCCAAGCGGTGAGACTTGAGAGAGTGCCACATGTAGAAAGATGCGGGGCAAAGAAAAAGAGGCTCGAAAGTCGCAGTGACCGCTCAGCTGCTCGTGGAATTGCTGAATTGTGAAGTCGTCAGTACGACGCCAGCTGTACCCTCTTCTCGACGGACCCATCAGGAAGGAACAGTTCCCGCAGACAACACAGCTGCCATCAACTGAACCTCTTGTTCGTCTGGAGTCTGGCCCGCCAAAACCCTCCACGAGCCCTCCACTGTTGACAAGGACTAGCCGCCAACCTCGAAATCCCATCAGCCAGCCAACGAAATCGCAAGCCCCGTACACTACAGACCTCGCTCTAGTACCCGACCTCTTCTCTCTCCGTTTTCTGTTTTATTTCTCTATTTCCTTGCTGCCCGCGCTGCGCGCTCTTGACTCCGCTTTTCCTTTAGACATCACCAGATAATTCACATCCCGAAGCAAAGATGAGAGGCGAGGTAAGACATGCGCCCGTTGCCCACACCTCGCAATCCTTAGCACAGACAGCTTGGCCCTGGGACACGACCCCTATTCCGCCGCCGTTGGACAGCAATCCCATGGTACCCAAGCAACGAAATCAACGACACGCCCCTCCAGAGTTGGGAACGCTCGTGACAACGACACCCGCCGATAAACACAGCAATCTAGTAATATTAAGCTCGACAACACGAATTGCCGCTTCATTATACATAGACTGGATCACGACATCCAGAATCCCACGCTCGCTGTCCAACACCCAGGTCCCACGTCGATATCCTGATATACCACCTCACACGCCCATATAGCGCATCATGGAACTACGTTACCGCAAGCACAAGTAGCTGATACAGCTTCATACAGGTTGTTCACATTCACTTGGGCCAGGCCGGTACCCAGCTTGGTAACAGCGCCTGGGAGCTGTAAGTGCTTAACACACCGCTATGCTTTTTTTTGGCGTGACCTTCTCTAACACATCTGCTCTTCTAGCTATCTCCTTGAGCACGGTCTTACTCAAGATGGTCGTAAGGACCCCGACTCTACCGTTGCCGGTGAGGGCGGTTCCTATGATACCTTCTTCACTGAGTCCAGCAACGGCAAATATGTTCCTCGATCCCTCTTCGTCGATCTTGACCCTTCCCCGATCGACGAGATCCGCACCGGCCCTTACCGTCAGCTTTTCCATCCCGAGCTCTTGATCAGCGGCAAGGAGGATGCTGCCAACAACTACGCCCGTGGTCACTACACTGTCGGCAAGGAGATGGCCGAGAACGTCCTTGATCGCATCCGCAAGATCACCGGTAGGTTATCTTCTGTACGTCTAGGGCGGGTAATATGTTTCTAACCGGGTATGGACAGACAACTGCCACTCTCTTCAGGGTTTCCTCGTCTTCCACTCCTTCGGTGGTGGTACCGGTTCCGGTTTTGGTGCTCTCGTCCTCGAGCGCCTCGCCCAGGACTACGCCAAGAAGTGCAAGCTAGAGTTAGTCCTTCCTCATTTTCCCCCAATGGTGTCAATAGGCCATCTTGACGGATGATTGGGTCTTGTTCAAAATGTTGGGATCTGGACTCTCAAGCCTTGTTGGGTCTTTCGAAGATGGTGCCTGAACTCTCTTAAAGTTCGGCCATCCAGGCGAAAAAAGACCTGTTGGGAAACTCAGAGCCGCGTTTGGAACAAGACCGATTTACCCCAGCGCTTTCGTGGAGGTCATTTTTACTCACAGTATCTTCGGTCAGGTTCTCCGTTTACCCTGCCCCTCGTGTCGCCACGGCCGTCGTTGAGCCCTACAACGCCGTCCTCGCTACCCACAGCACCCTCGAACACAGTGACGTTACCTTCCTTGTCGACAACGAGGCTGTGTATGACATTTGCCGAAGAAACCTCGATATTCCTCGTCCCAGCTACGAGCACTTGAACCGCCTGATCGCCCAGGTTGTTTCTTCCATCACCTCGTCCCTCCGTTTCGATGGTGCTCTTAACGTCGATCTCAACGAGTTCCAGACCAACTTGGTTCCTTTCCCTCGTGTCCACTATCCTCTTATCTCTTACGCTCCTGTTATTTCGGCTACCAAGAGTGCTCACGAGAGCTTCAAGACCTCTGAGCTTACCCTCCAGTGTAAGTGGAACTTGAGCGTTTTGATCAGCCGTAACATTGCGATCCCAGACACTGACATATTTTGTGAATAGGCTTCGAGCCCAACAACCAGATGGTCGTCTGCGACCCCCGTAACGGCAAGTACATGGCTGTCGCTCTTCTCTACCGTGGTGATGTTGTTCCTCGTGACACTTCCGCTGCGGTTGCTGCGCTCAAAGCCAAGTCCTCCTTCAACCTCGTTGAGTGGTGCCCCACTGGTTTCAAGATCGGCATCAACCACCAGAAGCCCATGTCCGTCCCCACTGCCTCCCCCGCTGATGGTGGTCTTGCTTCCGTCGACCGCTCCGTCTCCATGTTGTCCAACACCACCGCCATTGCCGAGGCTTGGTCGCGTCTTGACCACAAGTTCGACCTTATGTACAGCAAGCGCGCCTTCGTCCACTGGTACGTCGGTGAGGGTATGGAGGAAGGCGAGTTCAGCGAGGCCCGTGAGGATCTTGCTTCGCTTGAGAAGGATTACGAGGAGGTCGCTGGCGACTACAACGATGTCGATGTCGATGCTGAGTACTAAGCGGTTGCTTTCACTATGGTCATACAGAGGAGCCATTGTTAGATCCAGGGCGGCTGGGTCGGTTGATTCTCGGAGCTGGGTGTCACGGGTGTCATCCTGTGCATATTCAAGCCGGAAATAAGCGCGCAGCCCAGGCAGGCCCTTGACAACCAGCACCTTGGTCCCATAGTCTCACACGAAAGAAGCGCGGAGTTAGGAAGGACTAGACGAGAACATGACGACTTTATGTAATTCCCCCCTTCGAAAGCACATATACATACCCACCCCTTTAATCTTGACTTGATTGTAGATCAACAACACGAAGCTACTTTGTTCACTGGAATAAAAGGAAATGATAGCTGCGCTACTCAAAAGAGGTTGCAGAGCTGGAGTAATACATGGGGCCGAGAAAATGAAGAACAGAATGATACGCTCTTGCCCTGGAATATTCGATAGCGCGGGACTTGCCTATGCACCCTAGACAGCTCACCCACAATTCTACGAGACATCATGTAGAAAGTTGGTATGGTGCACTTAAAAGCTTTACACGTTATTTCTTTTTTATTTCCTTGCAATGTGGTTGTGTTGTTGATTTTTGTGTTGCTTGCGAACCCCTTTCGCAAGAACCACGGAGCCACGCTAACAGTCGTTCCACGATTATACCGCAATTTCAGACAACTACATACCTAGTTCTGGGCGCCAAGGCTCTTCCTCCACATTCCCGTCATTGTGAAGTATCACGCGGTTCGGGACAGTCCGTTGAGATACCTTCATGTGCGATGACTGCATTACAGCCTATCCTATCCTACCCATACATGCGTGCGTCATGAATCGAAGGCTTCTATTCACTTTCGAATTCTACTCCTTTTCTTAAAGCTTCAAAATCCACGGGCCGCACCGGGCTGAAACGCGCGCACCCGCACCACGCCGGCTGCTGCCCGTTGGCTCTATACCAGCAAACAACTCTTAACATCAGGCAAATGGCCTAGCACTTATTTCTTCCCCTTCCCTTGAACCTTCCACTTCGAAGCCCTCGCAGCAGCACGACCAGTCTTCTTCTTACCACCACCCGCATTCGGCGCCTTATTCTTCTTGGCGCCCTTGAACTTGAGATCCTTAGGTTTTCCATCTGCCGCACTAGCACGCTTACCCTCGAGAATGAAACTCTCGGGGGACTTGTAGGCGCCCGGGACTCTGGGGCCGGTCGCCTCCGTGTTGGCGCCCGAGGCGTGATTCCTCCTTTGGTTGGCCTGGTATCTGTCCTGCTTGTTGAAAGTCTTCTTCTTGTCGGAGCCGATGACCTGTCTGGCAGTGAACTTGCCGAGGAGCTTCTCGGCGCGGCCGGCGATGGTCTTGGCTTCGGCGGAGATCTTGGGGGCGTAGTCGGATTTCTTGGAGCCAGGACCCTTCTTTCCGTTGTTGCCTTTCTTCATAGTTTCCGGAACGGCACCCTGCGCCTTGAGCTTCTTGGCTTCGATGGCACGCAGGGTCTTGTGAGGGGCCTTGCAGCGGCTGACGCGTAGCTCGCGGGGGAGCATGGGCGGGAATTTCTTGCCGTTGAGGAGGATGGCTGACTCGACGGCGTTTTCATCCTACGGAGGGGGGAACAGAGTTGTTAGTTGATAGTGGCCAAGTAAGAGATAGAGAGAGGAGGTGATAACTCACGCAGAACTGAACATAGGCGAAGCCCTTGCCGACACGGGTGACAGGGTCGCGGACCACACGAACGCTCTCAACTTTGCCGCCCTCTTTACCGAATACCCGCCAGAGACCTTCCTCGACGTCCATAGGCTGCTTTGTCCGCTTCTTCTTCTCGGTCACCTCCTTACCGTCTTCGTCTACCTTCACCTGCAATACTGTCTCGTCATCCACAAAACCAAGGTTGCCGACGAAGACGCAGCGCTTGTGGTCTACCGGGGCAGGATGGGCAACGCTGTCGACACGGATGTGGCGATCCAACACAATTGTGCCGTTGAGTTTCGAGCAGGCAAGACGAGCGGCCGCAGGGGTGCTGTAAACAACATAGGCGTTTGTCGATTTCGTAGTGGCCTCCATCACGGACTTCTTGATATAAGCGGCGCGCTTGGGAATAGCAGCGGTAGCGAAGGCAGTCGAGCGGAACCGTATCGACTCAACCTTTTGCGCAGGCTTCGCCTCCTTGTCCAGCACTGAAGCCAGGTGCTTCATCAAGGTCTTTTTGGCCGAACGAGAGGTGACGGCTTCAACGGCGACATTGCTGAGGAAGACGGTGCGGTTGGCCTTCTCAATCTCGTTCTGGGCAGCATCGGGCGCTAGCGATTCGTGAACGGGGACCTCATCCGCAGACTCGCTGTCGTCGTCGTCCTTCTTCTCGGCCTTGGCGGTATCCTTCTTTTCTCCGGATTGCTCGTCGGCCTTAAGACGCTTGCCAGCCGGCTCTTCATCGTCCTCCGCCAACTTCGACAGGTATTTGTGTTCGAGATTGTCGTGCTGGTCGGGTTGCTTGCGCTTCCGTTTCCGTCCATCTTCTTCCGGGACCTTTCCTTGTTTCACAACAGCTTCGAGGGTCTCGAGGGCTTCGTCTTCGCTGTCACTGTCGTCTACAGCCTCGTCGTCTTCGTCATCCTCTCCAATGCCGACCTCGGAATCGTATTCTTCGTCAAGCTCGCTCAGTTCCTCGTCATCGCCCTCGTCCTGAACTTCCTCCTCTTTCTTGGAAGGTACTGGCGCCTTCTTGGACTTTGTCGGTAGGGGCTCGGAGTATTTCGCAGCTGGGCGGGGCTTCGCTGGACCAACCTACACAAAATTAGCCATGAAAACTTCCAATTGCCTGTCTGGTCAGAGCGAGATGACTTACACTGGTAGCAAACAAAGCATCCAAGCTAGGATCAACCTTCTTCACCGGCGCAACGAGTCCTTTACTATAATAGTGGTGTCAGAATACTGGAAGAATGGCGTTAACTGTAGCGTAGGGTTGTTCGCACGTTTTACCCATTGTGAGTTTTCCGTCGTGTGTAAGCGCAAATGGATGGGAAAGTGGCACGATTCGCCAATCAAGTACTTGTGATTGACAGTTCTAAGAGCACGGAAAAACAACTGAAGTTCGACGACGAGGCGAAAGATGTGATTGGCTGTAAATGCTGTCAAAATCGAATTGCAAAGCTTCCACTTCTGATTTCTAGCAGGATGTTGTACAAGGCAAGACCAGTTTCTATGCAGGCAGGTTCAATGGTCCAGGGTCTCAAGGGTCGTCGTTTCTACCTTCCCCACTGCGCATCGTAAGGACGAGTCGACCGTGGAACATCGGATCTTGCATCCTCCCATAAAAAAAACTCGCTTATCAGTTGTTATCGAAACTGCCAAGACTCACCGCCTGCCATCGCCTTTGTGTGGTGCGCTGGGCTGTTGGAGACGGGCGGCGGCGGCAGGCAAGTGGGCAGGCAATGGAGCCCCCCAGAAACCTGCCGGTTGCCCATTTGTGTTGTGCTGGTGCGGTGCTGTGGGCGCTTGTCCAGCTTCCAGTCTAGGTCGTCAACCAGATACCTACTGCCCGCTCCTCACTCTCCCGATCTGTCTTCCTACTACTTTACCTACCCCGACCGCACGTTATCTCTCGACAATCGCGCCCTCGTACCGACAACAAAGCCATATCTCCGAGACATTTCATTGTGTGCGAACACACATTTTTCAACCTTCCAGCATAAACACACTTTACCCTGATCGTGGCGCCACAACTTCAGGTGCTGCTCTTGAGCTGCCCGTACAGTTCGGACGTCCAGTCCGCCGCCCACGACTAAATTCTACGTGGCCGTCCACTGCAACTTTCTACTGCTCAGCTGCTCAACCCAACATCGGCGCGTCGTTGCTTAGTTTCAATCTCGTCGGATTCTATGATCCGCGATGGCTACCGGTGACACCGCGCTGTCCTTGGCTCTCTCGAGCCCCCCTCCGCCTCTGCTCCAACACAGCCCTAGCGATGTGTCAAGCCCACTTAGTGACGTGGAAGACAAGCATGGAGATCCTGACGACATGGATTTGGACATGAACAGTAACCACTCTCAACATCGCGAGACATCGGTCCGAACTGACAATCGCGATGGCGTCGACTCGGACCTTGGCGCTGAGACTGACGATGAGAGCAAGCTGTCGGACGTGGATATTAATGACTCTGAGGCAGAGACAGAGAGGCTCTACGACACACCACCGAAAGATCGAGTATCGCGCGACATCGTGGACACCGCGGGTGAGCCTGGCACTCGACAATTCACCGACCGCCGCGATCGGACGTTCGAGCGCAGCCCTAGCAAGCTTCAGCAGCAAATCAAATCTGATTACGAACCGGAACACACTGCCAGCGGGCGAAACACTCCCTCAGAAGAAGCAGAAGTGGGTGACGAAGAGGCCTCGGAAGACCTGAGTGACGAAGAGCCTGAATTTGCTGCCGAACTACCACCTGCGCGATCTCCCGTGCTGGCGAAGAAAGTACAAATAGTTTCCGCCTCGCCTGAAAAGATCCTCACACTATCACCCCGACATGATATCCTAAAGCGGAAACGCTCCTCAGTCACCGAGCAACAAGATCTCAGCCAACCGTTCAAAAGGCGGACTGAGTCAAATACCTTTCCCGAAAAGCTCTCAGCCGATGACGTGCCTGTCGTCGACATTGAGGTCATTTCGACGAACCCCGAAAGCGGCAACCAGTCTGCCGAGGAAGATAATATTAATGAGCCGACCATTACGGCTGGCGCCGATAGCGCAACGAAGGATGAAACGGAGCCCACGGATGCGCTCGAAGAAGACGCGACAGACAGCCGAATCAAAAAAGGGAAACGCGGTGTCGCGAAGAAAAGGAAGAGCCCAACCCCTGACGAACCAGATGGTGATGAGGTTGAAGAGACAAATGCCGACGCTGCTGCTGAAGGAGACGCGGTTGCCGTCGAAGACTCCGCAGTGCAAGCTGAAGAGGACCAAATCGACGATGTCGACGAGGAGGCTGAAGCAGCCCACAGAAACGAAGAAGAGCGTATGTGAAACCATGTTCTTCCGTCCCCTTCTCTCTGCACATACTGACGGATCACTACAGTTGAGCGTAAGAAGTCTGCCTGGGAAGAGCTTGCAGCAATTGAGAAACAATTCAGCAGTTTCCGGGAGCGGTGAGTCTACCAGTCATCCTGTTTACATCCGGACTAAAGCTAACAGCTTCACAGCCTATATCAGGAACGTCTAGAGCAACTCAATCAGGAAGAAGCAATGCTTACCTGCGAAAACCCCACCCATCCCGAATATCTTGCGATGCTACAGTGTCTGAATGCTCGAAGAGAGGAGAGGATCAAGACTAGCACACTCGAGCTACAATTCAGAATGGCGATGCTTCAAAGGCGCGCGGTGGCAGAACGGGCACAGATCCTGTCGCAATACCACCAAGCCGTGCGCGAGTCACGCGAGAAGGTGCTCGAAGAGCTTGGTCAGGAATGGTACGATATACAACAAGAGCGCAGACGGTTTGCCAACGCTATACCCGACTATGGAATCCATTACCCCGCTGCCAAATCACAGAGTATTCGTAACGCTGTTGCCTACAACAAGGAAGTGTCGATTCTGTCGGGCTTTGCCAAACACGTTGGATTTCCTGCTGCGCCTCCAATACACGGCGCATCTGAGGATCAGGTGGAAAACGATCTCGAAGCTATAGCTGTGAGTGTTCAAGGTATCTCGATGCATACTGCCTATTCATATTGACCGCGGCTGTAGCGATCTCGCGAGCCTGTCCCCCGGCCTATACCGAACTACCCCCCCGCTTTCCACCCAGACTATGCGTCCGCCGGACTTCCGTTTGGGCGAACCCCCCTTGGCCCCGCCGGTGAACAGTTTATCGAGCAAACACCTTGGGCAAACCCGAATCACCCAGCCCATCAGATGCAGCGGCAACAATTACATCATGAGGCGCCTTTTGCAGAGCCTCCCTCTGGACCACGACACCACACACAACAACCTATGGCGCCATATACCACAAACGGGTTCGTGGCAGTCAACGGGGATGGGCCCCCAGTTCATCTGCACAAGGGGCATGCTTCGGGTGCTCACGAGCCAGTGAAAAGCGCCAAACTTGGGCCAGAGCAGATGAAGCGGGAGGGTGTTCCTCAGGCTTCATGAAACGCTTAGGAGGACTACCAGGAAGTCGGGCCAAAAGCACTGCAAGCAGACAGATTTGTTTATTTTCTTCAGGGCATTCCAAACACCTAAGTCGGGCATGAATGGTGTTTTACTCCGCTTTGTACTTGTTACGGCATTGAGCGACGGTGGGTAGGAGTTTATGGAGTTATAGATGATTTATTTCACAGTGGCATGTTCGGCAGGTTCATAGTTCGGAGTACGGGTGGGATGTCAGTTGGCTAACCAAGTCAACCAATGCGTATATGCCATTGCAGGGTAGCTGGGCAAGTTGTTTTACTGAGCGTTGGGTTTTTGGAGCTACTCACTCCTTGCCCGCTTTTACATATGAGCTATGGTCGGGATATGTATATATATATATACCTTTTAACGAAGAAGGTACCCATTTGGATACACCCAAATCACAAATACAACACGGCTGGAGGGTGAACTCCTGCGCGAGAGTCTCTGACTCCTTATACCATCCAAAGAGCTGTGTTCCGCCCCGCTCCATTCCCTGAACGCCATCATAATGTACACGGCCGGGGCTGCCTTGGTGGATGCCCGTACCGATCTATAGCAACCAACGCCACAGAGCTCATATTACATCTGCCTATTTCTTCTCAGGAACCTTGACGTCCTCGAACTCGTCCTGGCCGACAACGGTCAGGGTGTAGGCGTCTGGAAAGGAGGGACGATTCGTCAGCTCGTTATTTACTCGGTGGGCAGGACGGAAGCGGTAGGTATAGATCGCATGCTGTTGTCGTTCAGGTAGGGGTGTACAAAAGGTGAGGCAACGTACAGACGGCGAGAGTAAACGCGGTAATGCTGGTACCGAGAACAACGTTCTTGAAGAGGTACGGGCGACGCGCGCGAATCAGCGCCGCCGACTGGCGGTGGTTGCGCTCATAGTAACCGGAGTTGGGACGGCTGTTCAACTTTGCGATTAGTGCTGTTGTTGGCAGAAAATTGGCACTGTAGAACCGGACTCACCCGGACATGTTGCTATGAAATTGACCGATTTCCGAAGCAAAGCAATGGTGAGCAGCTCTAGCACCGGATGATGTCGTCTTCAAGACACTGCACTGCAGCAGACGGATCCAGGAAAAAGATGGGTGGGTCGGATGTTGCCGTGGGGTGTGCTTCCATCTAGTGTACGGTGCATTAGAACCAAAGCTTATCAACTCTCATCAACGAGTGCTGTGCCGACAGACAGCCCGCCAGAGGCGAAGCTGCCCGTAGCAAGCGGCAGGCAACCGAAGCCGCGGCAGGCATTATCACTGCATTGGGCTTGATGTACCTACATAATGAACCAAATTTGATCCGTGCGCCAACACCCTGCCCCTGTCAGTTCAAGACCATGACGGCGCGTCAGGAAGGTTTCTAGGAAGCTCCATTGGTCAAATCTACATGGATACAATATAAACTGCCACTGCACCATTCACCATTCACCATTCACCACACAACTACAACACAACCGGAACCAACACGAAGAGGCTCGCCTTGGAAATTCGCGACACCGATTATTGCTCAAGAAATTCGACGACGGCTCTCGAACTGATTACCAATTCTAACCGCTTCTGGTATTCATTGAGCGACACCGGCTAGGATACCTGCAACAATTGCAATTCTGGACGAACGCCGACTCAGCACAAGACAAGAACGAGACAATACGCAGCGGTTCCCACGTTGCGGAGGATGAGTGATATTGTCCTAAGCCCATTGGAATCAACAATCAGCAGGGTTGAAGGGCTGTCTCTGGATTAAGTCTTTGGTCGACGACAACGGGCGCAGCTAGAGAAGCTGTGTCGCCTGGGCTTGATCTATTGCGTTTCGCACCTGCGCACCCATCCAGCAAGCAGCCCCTTCGTAGACTCTTTTGACCTACATCACAATCACATACTTGCACCTACTTCGTTGTTACGTCCTGAGGTTGCGATCACACCAGCAACGATCTCTGTCCATATATTACACTCCCCTCGCTACACCCGGGTAGCGCGGTGTATATATTTGCCCATTGATCACCATGGCTTCCCCTGTAAAGACGCCCCCGATGAGCGAGCAAATACAACAGCTTAACGCTGCCCGCAAAATGGCTCTCGAAAACCCTGGCTTTTTCAAACAGATCATCCAGGGTATTCTGCCCCTCACGGCCCCGTCTGCTCCCGTCGAGCTGCGCAGATGGGCCGCCGATTTCATCGCAGAAGCGCTCGCTTGTCCAGCTTTGAGGACGCAAGACAAGGAGAACTTGACTCTGGCGATAGTAGATGCGCTACGGTCACTGGTGGAAGCTCCTGATCAGGACCCTCTAGTACTCAAGGCTGGTATCATGGCGGCGGCGAGTGCGTATCCAGTTATTGTGAGATGGATGTAAGTAATGCACCTACTAGGGTCGATGGCCTTGCCTTCTGCGCTGTGTGGTCTCGTATGTTGTGTGTCTGATGTCCATGCTACCCCGTGTTATGGTTCCCACTTGTCTCTTTTTCCTGCACTCCATCAGACACACATGTCCTCCGGGCACTGGCATGGCTTTGTCCGGGACGGTTCAACATATCTTTTCATGTCCCCCTGGGTACTAACCATTTTGACGCATAGTATTCTCAACACCTACCACCCCCCTGCTTGGGAGGCCATGTCAGCGATAAAGTCGAAGATATTGTCAATATGGGAGAATGCTCCCACGCCGGTCAAGCTATGCTGTATCAAGTTTGTTCAACGAGTTATCCTTGCTCAGACGGCATCAAACGGCACAGAACCGAAGGTTGATATAGTCTTCCTCGCCTTTTTGGGTAATTTACTAACAGCTAATGTCAGCATTCTGGCCTGGATGTCAACCTGGCTATGATTCCTCCTAATCACAAGTTCCTAGACCCCCGGCTTCTCGAGGCGGAAGCCATTGGCCTCCTTGACAGAATGCTCGGTGGTCTCCAGGATAACAGCAGGTGCGTAAGGGCTGCTTTTCCACGTCTATCACTAGCTAACCGCTGGTGCCCTTCTCGTGTACAGTGATGCTCTGATTGTAGATGCCACTCTCAACACTTTGTCCATTCTCATCCGCACTCGTCCTGCCACCTCCAGCCGTATCACAAATGCCGTCCTCAACTTCAACCCTCTGAAACTGGCCAACTCTCCCATGACCCCCAAGAATAAAGTTCTCGTCAAGTCAATGACAAAGACAACCCAGATGCTCTTGAAGCATCTGTTTGTGAGGTAAGAAATGTCCAGTTACCGCTCATGCTTCTCTTGCTAACTAGGGCAAGGGATTCTCATAACCCGATAGCACCGCGCCTCAATCAGCAATACGAAAGACTTCAGCGTTCCCGTTTGGAGATTTTTGATGAGGCGAACCGCAAGCGGGCTCTTCCTGAGCAGGCTGCTGCAGGTTATGGTGATGTGAAGAGGCAGAAGACTGAAGGAGTCGCACCGCAGCCTCCACTTCGCATTCAACCACTTGCACCAGGGCCACACACTCTGGCTGAAGTGTTCAGTCTCACTAACAATACAGGCTTGCAGGGCTTTGACGTGACCGTAGTACCTACCTCGTTAACTGCTAGAATCAATGTCAGGACGCTGGCGTCACTAGACCAAGGGCAACTTGATATGGCCATCAATGTAAGGCTCCAGCAGTTTCTTGATAGGGGCAACTATGCTAACACTGCCATAGGGAGTTCGTGACCGATTGATTGCTTTGTATGCTGCAGCACCTGCCGCAGCACCAGTCCCGGTACCGGTCTTAGGAACAGCGACAGCGCAACAAGCTTCGGTTAATGCCGAGACGGTTGCCTTGGGGGTTGAGGAAGATGACGACGCCTACGAACCCGACTTCTACGCTGCGGAGGATACTGAACAAATACTGAACAAGCTCGATAACGCGCCTCCGGAGGAATCACCTGAGCAGAACGCCAAGCCTGATTCTGCCTTAGCTCTCGGCCCGTTCAGGCTCCCGCCGCCGCCTGTTCTCAATCCGGATACTGCTGTCAAGGTCAGCCAGATCACTGCTATGCGCATATTTGGGCCTCTCTCAGGTCTCGAGGACCCGCTTGTTCGCAAACCCAAGGCCGGCCTCAACCGATTGGCCGCCAACTCCCATGATCGCGACTCATGGCTTACACTGATAACGCGCCTTGCAACCCGCAGCACCATAGGCCTAGGGGACGGTATCAAGAGCGAGGCTGACACTACCAGTAGCGCTCTTGGTCGCCCACAGATGAGCCTGGGCAACCTCATTCGCGAAATGCTTTTCAACTACATTCTCGAAGACTGGCGGCGCCGTATCGAGGTTGCCGTGGCATGGTGTTGCGAGGAGTGGTACAACGACCGACTAACAATTCTTAATAAACTCGATGGACCGCTGAATTACGAGCGGTGCGCGTTGCGTCTAATGGACGGCTTCCTCAGTTATATCACGGCTCAAGACAAGGTTCTCACCCGGTTCCTGTCGGAGATTCCCCAACTCAGCAAAGAGCTTCTCGGTCGCCTAAAGGGTCTTTGTAGCGATCCGACTACGGTGCAGCTCGCTATGACCAGTCTGCTTTATCTGGTGATGATGAAGCCACCAGCGAGGGAGCTAGCTCTGGACACGGTGTATGAGATTTGGGTTGAATGTAAGTTTTGCCTTTCTCAACGAATATTAAATGATTTGCTTGCTGACATGCTTGGTATATTAGACGAGGACGCGCGCCCTCTGGCAGAGAAATACCTTCACAGGTGGCGGCCCGGATTCGCCGAGACTCATGCTGCCGCCGACGGCGCCCCTGCTGGCAATGGTACTCAGGCAATGACTGCATGAACCTGATATCTGTGTCACATAATGTGTTATTATCAAGACGGGCGGTATTTATTGCCTTCAGAACATCCTGTATGGCACTGATATTGCTCGCGATGCTATTTAATGGACATAGAAACCTCGGTGGGGGAAAGTGAGTATGATATCGCTGCTTGTGCATCAGGTTACAAGGCCCACGAGCAGCGGCTATTCAAGAGGTGGCTATTGCTGTTATCAAAGGAGAAGGAGCGAGAAGAACTCTACAAACGGTGGGCTAAACATGTCCTTGAGAACAGCTGTGATACCATTTAGAGTAGATAGATTCGTCCAGGCATTGCCGCTGTTCTTGCGGCGGCAGCTCATTCGTTGGCACCCGGAACGCGAGGATGATGTCGGATGAGGTGACGAGAAGGTGGCTTACGTATGTGACCCTAACGCGCGAGATATGTGAAGTAAACGAATTGTCAAATATGTCGACATTACTTCCTTAGACCGAAAGCAACTACGTCACGGGTCACGGGCCAGCTTTCCCTCGGGCCCGATCCGGAACGAACAGCAGTCGGAATTGGGCCCGATCAGAGATTCGGTGAGAATCATATGATGTTATATTATATACATATATACCTACTGAGGTTCTGATCAAAAGAGGGTGTGATGAGGCGGCAGTTCCCGTCACTAATGGCCGAGTTAAGGCAGGTACGGCGGGCGTAACTCCCTTCGTGCAATACTATGGTTGAATCGAGGTTCCAGAACTGACCTCAAACTGAAGCACGCGTATATCACCAGAGCAATTGATGACGGCTCATTTCACTAGTGTAGGTTCACAGAGTCGAAGAAATTGTCCATTAAACAACCCGCTGTACAAAATCATCATAGCGTACTGCGAACTTGTTGGCTTTGGCCCCAGAGTGTACATACCAAGTATGTGTTGATACATACCAGTCCGGGGAGACGGAATGATGGGACCAGGATATCCCCGCCTTTATTTTGTAGCCCTTGCGGTCCAGGTGCCGTAACAATGGGGCTAGGCAGTGCCATCCCACCAAATCCACCTGTTTGTGTGTTCATCGCCTGTTCAACACAGAAAGCAGTCGCTGGAGAAAGCATCCAACCTCATTCAAATATTCTATCCCTGCTGTCTGTTGGTGGCTCTGATCAGCGGGTCCTGCTCACTCATCTTACTACCCTCTCTGCATTGCAGTAAACCCAGAAGCTGCAGTGGAACCCATTTTCTTCGTTTGACATTCACCCTTGAAGGCACAGCCTGCAATCTCAGTTGAGCTGGACGTCTAATTCGCAACGCCTTGAGATGTCTACGCTCAATCCAACGCAGGCTCAAGTAAACGGAGAAGTCTATGAATCTGGGGAATATATCTGATCGTATCGAAGTATCTTGAGGTGGTCACATCGAAGCAAAACTTCCCGTCCAAGTCGGACAAACGGCCCTGCAGAAGCAGTGCATTAGCAGCAACCACCCCCGGCCCGTTGTGTCACTCCTGCATTTCAGGGCACAACGCCGAAAAGTGCCCTGTCGACCCGCCTCCCCATGTGCGCCGTCAGGTCCGCATGATAGATCCACCGCACGTTTCCACCAACCTCGGGCACTGGCGGCCACTGACTGGGCATCCCCCCTGGCGAACCTGGCGTGCCTGGCTGTCAACGGGTCCAAGTGTCAACCGCTACCTTGCCTCTCTGCTTGTACCTGACATCCGAACAAGAAATGCGCACGCAATCGTCTTGTCAAGCGTCTTCCACATCCTTCCAACAACAAACTCGCCTTCTCCGTTTCATCAAGACGAGGCTGGTATGTATGTATGTCCCTCTTTTCTAGCTGATACCCGGACGGGATATCCGTACCCGAATGAGCACATTCATACATGTAGAGGTACCTCACCACAATGGACGGGAAGAATAAGACAGTGCTACCTTAGCCGCACCCGCGGGGACGGGAGTGCATGTCCAACTGAAGTTATCTGCTACGGTGCTTTACCTTCTCCTAGAACCTGTCTGCAGTGCGTGAGGTTCTCCATTGCGTTGTCTCTGTTGATCTTCTCTCCGTCATCGACTCAACAGGTTTCAAGCAATTTGAGGCTAACATTGACATTGACCAAGACTATTCCTGTCGAACCCGCCGTCACGATAGAAGCCGCGTAATTTCCGTCCCAAATACAGTCGATTCCACCTATACAAAGACTTTCGTTTGCACGCTCGGTGATTGACCGGGCTGCCGGTTCGCCCTGTTCGACCCTTGCGCACGCTTCCGAAGGCACAATCAACGCCGTTATGTCCCGGTCGTCTGTCAATGGAGCCAACGACAAATCACTACTTTCCGCACCAGCGTCACCCCGATCATCCACGGGAGCTCTTTCGCGAATGAATTCCACGATACGCGCCGTCTCCAGCTTCGACGACAGGATATCAGAGGACTCGAGTACCGATACGGTTCCTACTTCCAATACAGCTTCGCAAAACTCGACTCTTTCCAGCTCAGTAAACAGCTCTGTCAGCATGGGTTCCGCCTCCCAAGACCAATTGAAGGTACAGAAAGGAGAGAGCAAGACGCCTGCACCTACTGTAAAGCTGAGACCCAGTCCGTCGTTCAACAATCTATCAGAAAAGTCGGTATCTAGCTTGGATGTACCAAGGAGGCTAGGCACAAAATCAAGCTTCGAGCTCCCAAATCGAGACGGAAGCTTGAACGCGACAGCACCACCACAGAGTCCCATGTCAGACAACGGGGGATCCAGCATGCAGGAAACAATAAGCGCCACCGAGGCCAACCTTGCCGGGGGATGGGACTCGACAATCGGGAAAGCCGGGTTAGGCAAGACAGGGCGCGTCATCAACAAACTGGTGTCCGACAACGAGACGCTGAAGCGCGACATTCAAATCGAAAGGTTACGGGCCGAAGAGTCGAAAAACGCAGCGAAACTGTTGGAAGACAAACTCGAGCGCATGGTCGCAGATTATGAAAGCCGGTTACTAGAGGCTAACGTAACAAAGACACTCCTGGCGCGTAAGGAACGACAGGTAGCGAGCCTACAAGAGACTGTCGACCTGGAGCGGAAGCGGGCCATGGACGCAGGCGAGCGTGAGCGGACGTGGAAGGATGAGATGGAACGTGTGAAGGCCGATGCCAAGAAACAAGTCGACGAAGCAACCAACCTCGCAGCTCTTATGGAGGGCCGTTATAACGCCATCAGCAGCCATTGGAAGGAACAAGGGGAGGAAGTCAAGCGAACAGTGGCCAAGATGCGAACTGAGATCGCCAGTCTCCTAGAGGAGAGGAGGCGGGATGACGACCGGATAAATACGCTACGCGATTTATGTGACCAACAGGATGGAAACATACGCGAGTTGAGGAAACAGAAGGAGGACATAGCTGCGCAGTTTGAACGGTACAAGATTGCGCAGGACGAGTCGCTAAAGGACATCAAAGCCAAGGCAAGACAAAGGGAACTTGAACAGGAAAGGACACTTCAGGAAACCAAGGAGGTGTTGGATAAACTGAAGTGGGCACTCAGTGTCAAGGAGAAAATTGAGTGGGCTCAGTAGCCACAGGGTAGTCTACAGCGCGGTCGGCTTCTATGTTTTCACACGCAAAGCTTGAGCTTCCCTGAAGACGACGGTCAAATTGACGTCCCCTAATCCCATGGCTGAAATCAGCCTTTGAAGCTGTCTTGTTGCTTGCTATCAAGCTGGGAACCTGACGAGCGATCATCCCTTGCTCCTTATGGTCACAGCACACCTAGGAGCCCCCAGTGGTCTTAATCCATGAGAGTGAGACAGGTGTCCCGCTGCAGTACTTACAATATTAACACGAACTCAAGATATCAGATGAGACAGGCAGCCATGGAAAGATCTTTGTCTGGATACTGTACCCTATTCCGGTTGTCGACACTACATGTCTTCCGTCTACTTTCCACCTCCCTTTTCAAACATTATAATTATTGGGATTACGGAGTTAAAGGAGCTTAGGAACTCAGCAGGATCTCTTTTGGGGCCGATGGAATGGCGCATATACTGGCACTTAAGGAAAGATTGTATCATTACAAGGGAGGTGTGGAAACCCGTCATCTACTTCTTTACTTTTAGTTCTGTTTTCTTGCTACCTACTTGAGGTCATTTCCCTCCCAGGATGGACGCATTGAATTTGCCTTCCTGGTTTCCCTTTGGTCTTCGTTTCAACTTTTGGAGCCATCCTTCTGATTAGGTACATGAATCAATGATACACCGGAAGGGGCCAATTTGATTCTGGAAGCTGAGGGGATGGGTGCCTACCTTTGGCCCGAATGCGATACCTTTTTCCCCATCTTCAAATTGTCTGATTCCTGCGCTGGAAGGTTCGCATCACCCATGGATTCAATAATAGGTCGAAATGTTGTTGTCGAGTACCCCTGATTTTCCCGTCACGCCCACGGTACCTGCCCTCAACAGCTGTATCGCTCTTGCCATAGCAAACAAGTCATGTCCACTAGACAATCTTTCTCCCACCTTCCATCCAATGCTCTTTTGATTTCTGTCCGTTTGTTATAACTTCTGCACCGCTTTCCCCGCCATACCGAATCATTGATCTATCACCCACCCCTCATAAAGCCGGAATCCCAACATTTCTCAACCGCGAACACACTTTCACTCATCGAGTACGAGGCCAAGTTACTTCCACGCCTGACTTCTCTCCAGTCTTCAGACGCTAGGTGACCGTCAAGCCAGCCCCAAACATCATGGCTGCACCTTCTCCCCCTCCATTCAGAAATGGCAGTCCCAGCAAGCCGGTACCTAATGAGCTGAAGCAATACTACTTATGTTCCGCGTGGAAGTTCACGGACCGCGCAGTTGATTATCTGATTGCCAAACTGAGAGACGAGCAAGTCGTGAGTTACTACTTCCCAAACCCAGATGTACCCCAAACTTCACCAAGCTGACATCGAGATTCTTGATATTTAGCAAGATGCTGATTTCAGTTGGGAGTCCAAGTACGGATGGATCAAGACAATCTCTCCAGCCAGCAAGGAAACCGAGATACGAAAGTTTTGGCAAGAGCTTGTGACAGAGGTTGAACAAGACGCTTATGAACGTGCCGAGGACAACATCATTCAGTACAACTTCACGCTCAAGGTAAGCCAATTTCCAAGTCCCCAGGAGGCACAAAGTGCCACAGGCTGAATATTTTTCATAGCACGGGTTCAAGGACGAGATGATCGAGTACCCAGATGGTCTTTCCGAATCCAGCGATGGCGATGCCCGTAACCCTAGCATCAATGACTCCGAGGATATCGCAACGCGCAACACCTTTCCTCCACAGTTCAGTAACCGGTTCCCTAGCCTTGGGACCTGGACCAAGCTCGAGGGAGAGGACCCGTCTCTCACGATTCAACGCGTCTTCAACGAAGATGACCGACTCCAGCTTCAGCAAGATACCGGGGTTGAGATTTCGTACGATCTGGGAAAGGTTGTATACCTTGGTGCAGAAAGCCAAGACAAAATCAAGAAGGCCAAGGAGAAACTAGATATCCTGCTGGAGTCTATAGTAAGTCCTTCAGATACTCAATCAGTCCACTATGTTTCCAGTATTAACGTTTCCATAGACCGCCCCCGTACCTGATGTCCAATTTCTTCTCTACACCGAAGGCTACAAGGACCCGGTGCTCAACGACTCCAAGTTCGACATCCGATATCTCGCCAACATCGACCCCAAGCTCCCGTCTACAACTCTTTTGGATCCGATCTTATTTCCAGATTTACCCCAAGAGTATGCTCGCATGTACCACGTTGGAAGTTCTATTCGACTTTGTCCATACAACTCCGTACTACGCGCACACTCGTCTCTATTCGGCCCTGTGATTTTGACCAGAGAGCGGACGAAGAATGATATGTTGGTGCCGCGTCCTGTTCTCACAACTAAGTCGGAAAGGACCTTGATTGACATATCTACTGCCCCCATCGATGGACTAGCTGGCCCTATTCTCAACGAAAATGCGATTGACCAAAGACTGAACGTCAATGACTGGTTGAATGATATTCCCGAAGGCTTAAATTCAGTACCGACACAGGATACCCTTGCGTCGAGGCCTGCCACGCCTGGCTTAGCGGTTCTGGTGCCAACTATCTCTTGGGATATGCCCGCCCTTATCCCGACACAAGGCACCAAGTTATCAGACAAAGTTGAATCATCTAAAGCAGACATAGAGAGGAGCACCCTCAAGGGTGAATCTCTGAGTTTTGACCAAGAAAAGAAGCAGAAGAGTATTCAACAAGTCCTTCAAGCTGTGCCCAGATTTCTTGAAAACGGCCCATATCTGAGGGGGGAAGTCACCGTTTCGGCAGACTTTGGGCGTATACTCATTCCCGAGCTCGCAGCAAATGCTACAGCCTTCAACGGCAGGAACACCAGGAGTAATGGGTGGAAGAGGAGGGATCTGATGTTGACACTGCATCAAATCAAGCCTGGAACCGCAGGTCAGGAGTCTCTAGTTGCCGGCAATATTTGCTTCACGAAGATTCTGAGCACACACGGCTTAGACTTGGAGGGGTTGATCAATACCAAGGACGAGAGAACATCCAAGCGCCTGTGGCTAAAAGCTCCTTCAAGGTGCTGGACGGTGTATTCCTTTTCCTGTCGGTTGGCTGGCAAAACCCCTGACCAGTTTCTTGTGGAGATTACGGACTGTGGCAGCGACTCCTTCTCATACACGATTCGAGGGCTGACTGAGCCTGGATGTTCCCAGAAGTTGATTTATGTCAACGCAGTGTTACGCAACTAGGATTTGCGTATCACGCGGACCGTTCATTCGCCGTTGCTGGAAAATCGACATGGGAAGTTTGCCAAAGCGCTACTAGAGTCACTGAAAATCCTGTAAGTCATGAGTTCATCCGTCACAAACTTGACAACTTACTAACTTAGTTTCCAGGGAACGCAAGCCAGACGACAAGGGCAGCATCAATTTGAGTTTTAATGTCGATTCTCACTTCAAGACAGCAATCACATCTGTCCGCGTACTTTCCAAGTGGCGCCATCTGAGCCAGGATGGAGGAAGTGCTCTTGACATCACCGAGGTTGAACAACTAGAGCTCAACTACGCCCCTCCCGGAATGCCAACTTCCACAGGAGAAGCGCACTCGTGGGAGCCTCAGACTCATGGAAGAGTACACAAGGGGGCAAAACAACGTTGGTACGAAGCATCTGTCTCGTCTCTGAACCTTGAAAAGCTCCTAGCGAAGAACAAGTCATTGAAGACAGGAGAAAGAGCAGAATGGTCTCAATCTGACCTAAGGCAAAATGGTATCTTGGAAAGCCTCTGTTGCCCTGCCCTCGAGATGTTGAAGTATATGGATCAAGTTGGGGGAATGGAGAACAATCACCAGGAAGGGAAGCCTGGAACTGCTGTCAAGAGAGCTAATGAGCGCCCAAGGATTGTTCCAGGCTATGAAGCTTCCGGACAGGGACAATGGACGCAGCAAGGCAAAGCAGGTGGAGGATGGTAAGATGTGCCAAACGTCAAGCTTAGCATTGACATTGAGCTCCAACACCAACATCACAAGCGGAGATGAAATTTGGTTCACCAAGAAACCAGGAGTGGGAGCACGATGGTGGTGCTTTGAGGAACGTGCGGGTTACAGAAAGTTATTAGGTGCGAGGGTGTGGAAGAATTTGGAGACAGATTGGCCTTTATGCTTACCTCTAAGCTTTACAAACCATACTCTGGGTCTCATGTAAAGATAGTCACTGCATCATCTTGCAACAATTAATAACAAGTCTGATTCAACAGAGAGTCCAGTCCCCTTAAACAGAGATATGACACGACGTTGTTATTGGAGCAAGGATTCGTAGCGGGAGCGGATGTTCTCCGCCATAACCAGCGCCGTGACAGTCCTATAAGCGCTGATGGACTCGGCGCCGAACTTTGTGGACTCGCAAAACACGGTTTCGTTCATGGCGTTGAACTGTAGCTCGTAGCGCACGCGGTAGGAGAGCCCGCGAACATGTTGAATTGGACGGTCATGCACAAGGCAACGAGCGCGAGCTTCCAGTCGTAGATGAAGGAGATAGTTGATCAAAGCGCCGATGAGCGTGAACATGCCGATGATGACCACTATCAGGTTCAGTTCCAATAGCTCCATGGGGGACTTGATGTTGCTTTGGAGGCGGGCGGTCAGTTGGTTGACCGAGTTGCCATCTTTGTCGAAGAAGGACGTCTTCTGGCCCAAGGTGGACTCGAAACATTGGAATACTTTTCAGCAACTCAAGCCTCAGCACAGCAAGATGTCACCATACGAACGAAAGCAAAGGCTTTGGTCGCAACGAATCCAGCCCTCCCCTCAGCTTTTTTCTCCTTTTTCATCTTTTCTTTTATGCCCTTCCTTAATAATAAACGGCAGCGTGATAGCGATGACCAGCACGATAAAGAACATCGAAGACGTGATCGACAACAAGGACCAGCTGTACGTAGAAGCCACAATGACAGCGGCTATGATCATAGCCGTGTACTCCAAAAAAAAACGTGTCCATCTTCTCCGAGACACCGATCTGCAGTGTTGGCGGTCGAGATGTGATGGTGCTCGCGGCGGCCCCGGGACGGCATCAAGTCGAGCACGTCTGCGCAAAGAGCGAGCGATAACGGTTGAGTAGTGTAAGTGGTTGAAGGTCACCTGAGTCCCGGTGTCGCCGTTGAAGCTCCCGATCAGCTGGTCGAAAACGACGTTCATCAGCGCCATGGTGACGTCGATAATTAGACTAGGGGATAATCCCACCTGGTGGCGTAGGTGAAAACACGCAGATACCTAGTCCTTGAGTGTGGCTTCTCTCTCGGGCTGTTGCTACTTCTGAGCCGCAGCCACCACCTTGGGCGTGTTTGATGAGCACGAGGAGACCGTTTCGACGGCATCGGTGCGTCAATCGCGTCGTTTTCCCGGGTTCTGATGGGAGGTCCGAACCCATGGCAGTGATGTCTTGTCCCTAGAGGTATCCAGGACAAGACAAGACAGTGTAACTTCTGGTTTGCTTGAGGCGTAAACGTTGGGTGTGACATGCCAGTTGTAGCCAATCCATCTATAGTTTGATAGAAGTACCTCTGAAACCTCGCGTGAGAGGCAAATTGAACGGAGAAGACCGAGCGAACAATTCGAGCTATGGCGATATCTTTGTGTGTTCACTGTTCAGTGATGTCGTATAATGGCAATATGCGGAACACCGTGCAGTAAGAAGAACCAAGACAAACAACAAACAAAAGCCACCGCAGCCTAGGCTGGACTACTCGACGACGATGCAGACGAAACATGAAATTAAGGTTACGAACAGACGGTAAAACATAGAATAGGGGTTTGTCGAGGAGAGTGTGTGATTCGTCTGTCGAGGACGTTTGATGGTCATAGTCGAGGTGCGGAATGAAAACAAGATGATCTTGTGGCGTTTGTCAGTTGCAATGCATGGAAGGCTGTGAGGAAAAATTCTCTTTTTCCTTCCCAACAGTCTCGATCTCTAGATGGCCAAGCGTTCTTGATGTAACAGTCAAAGTTAGCAGATGGAATGATTGAGGATGCGGCAAATGGAAGTTGTTATAGGATCTGGTTGGTTCCTGTGAGCCGAAAAACAGCAATAGCTCTGGAGTCGTATTTACCAGTTCAATGCTCAGCTCGGCATCTTAAGCATCATCAACAATGCTAGAAGGAAAAGCCCGTACAATGTGCTTTTTTTTTTCCGTTTCGCCTGGCATGATACTTCATCATTCTTGCTCTTGAAGAAGAGCTGGTGTGTTGATTCTGGTAATTCATTATTTCAGCCAGTATCCCATTATGCCATTCTAATACGCGGTAAATTTCAGTTATTACTGACGGTCAGCTGCTCGTGCACTTACTGTGTACCCGTGTGCCTCCAGCACTTCAAGTTGACTATCAACAACACTTGAGGCACGTCCAAAACAGATGCCAGATCTCTAAACCCTTTTCTTCTTCTCCTTCAAGGTACATCGGCCTATTACTTCTCATATGAAAGCCTCATCTTCTGGAAACCAAGGGAGATAGTTTTGATAACACGCCGCTTGTCTTTCCATTATGCTCCAATCATTGTTCTCTAGTCCAGACTTAATTTAAGAGTGCGGAGAGATGGAAACCCAGGCTCGTCCATAACAAAATTGATGAGACCTCTAGCCGTAACCTTGGGGGGCGATCAACCAACGGGGCAAGTGAAACAGTCCAATGTCACTCGTTGTGATCAAGAAAGGCGGTTTAGAACCTTGATGAAGATCACGATGTCTCAAAAACACATTTGAAAAAGTAGGTCCCTTAGGGATATGTTTATCAAGGAGTTGCCTAGAAGTTAAGTTTCAAAGGTGTGATGAAGACGCTTGGATGCGTAGTAAGTGTATACCCAAGGTCTGATGTACTGACTGTAACGTGTTTGGTTTATTCTTATGACCATTCGGTAAAGGTTTCAACAATTTTGTCAGGGACGATCCAGTGTCGCTCCGGACTCCCTGCTCAACCCGCAAATCGAAGCTTTGGCATGAGACACCATCGGCGTGCTCGTGAGGGGAAATGGTGATAGCTGGTTGAGCGTATGCGTATGGTTACATATGCCGGCTGAAGTTGAGTCAAGATAAATAGGATGGTCGACATCTATAGCACAGCTCGGCCACAACGAGGTGGCCTCACACCTTGCTCCTGAGTCAGGTCTCATCCATTTGTGTTCTAAAGACCTTGAGAACCACATTTGCCGGTAGGTGGCTGGCTGTTGTTCATATATCGCGTCTGATAAAGCGAACCCTTCAATATCGATGAAGCCTCCATTGCATCTGCTTTTGTGCACCAATCGCGACCAAACCTGATGATGCCTAGCTTATCGAACAGTTCGAGCTTTCTATCCCGTCGTCTAGCAATTTTTGGTTTTCAAGCTCACCAGGTAACATTGAAGCGGAGAGGGCATGGGACCGTGGCTTTTCTTCCGGAGTTTCAGATAACGACAACCCGACCGGAGTACATACTGAATCGTAGTGCGGGCCGAGTGGAACTAGCACACCGCACAATGGATCCATGATCGCTCTGACAATTGAACTCTTGCCCTAACCTTCTTGGGACTGTGGATTCCTTGGGCGCTAGAGGGAGGTTTAGGTGAGCTATGAAGGCCAAACAAAAGCTGAAGAGGGCCTGGAGAGGAAAACAAATGTCAATGCATGAGCGGAATCACCGATACACGACTGCCAGAGGCATGTCCACTGGGGGCTCTCGGGTGACGCTGTTGAAGAATGTCTGGTGTAACCGTGATGGTCTCCCAATACTCGACACAGCCGTCAGCGGTAGAACACGGGCATCTGGCCAGGACAGCACAGGATCATCTAGCAAGGCACGGGAACCTAACTCTGGTTCCCGGCTTTCGGCCATCATCCATCCTTCTGACTTCTGACCTAGTCTCACGAAGCTCGATGCTTCTCTGTTACTCGAGCCAGGGGACAGCGTCGATAGTGGCCGAAAGAGGATCAAGGGCACACAAGAGGACAAATCGTTTGCGTCGGGTCCCTGAGCCCGGCTGCCGGCTGCAAGGTCAGCTTCCCAAGCGGTGGAGTGGTGCTAGCCAAAAAAGCATCGCGAATCTCGACGCTATTCCGTGTTGGTGACTAGCTGGGGGCCTGAAGCTGCACAACAGGTGCAAGATGTGCGGGATGCTCAGGGGTAAAAAGTGCAACCCTCGTCCGTCCAACCTCCACCGAGATAGCCGTCTCCGCCATCATGTCTAGAGCTCGCAGCGCCGCTCAGTGGCCTCGAATCATGATAGCCTCGGACCTGCAGCGTGCATGTGCCCTGCTGCTGTGCCTGTGCCTGTGTGCTTTGCGTGTGCAGTGAGCCGGGAGGGTGAGTGTGTGGGTGAGAGAGATGCGGTGATCACCTCAGTTAACACGCACGAACCCGACCTGTTCCTCCGTCCGCCGTCCTCGTGTTTTCCAGCTTCCACTTCTAGATCAAATCATCCAATCTCGTGCGCCGTTGCCGACACTGTGTGGTGTCTCTGGTTCCACCGTTGGAGAGCCCAGATGCGTGTCTCTCATCGAAATTCTGGGGTCCCCAAAATCACCCAAATGACCGCCCGCACCGCTGGGTGTCCTGGGAGTCCAGGCGAACTTCCGGGTGCTTCGCATATGATTTTTCTGGCTGCTATTTTGGACGGTTCCGTGATTGTTCCGTGCAGGACGCCAGTACGACGGGGGCCTGAGGGCTTCCAGGGGCATCGCCCGGAGCCCCCATCCACGCACGCACTCGCCTGTTCAACGCTAGAGGTAGCTCCTACCTTGGGAACCCTGACGGGCAAGCAAGGTTCCACACCTCATGTTCGAGCGAGAGCATCCACTTTGGGCCCAAGGTGTGGATCCCCTTTCCACCTCAATGGGTGCTGCCGGGTGTCAGTGAAGTGATAATAAAGTGGCAGGAACACAAACACGCCGAAAACCACGCCCATTGTTTGGCGAGCTGCAGCAGCTGCAGTCCGACAAGCCGGCAACCCAATTGTGAGCGGCAGTGGAAAGAAAACAAAAGCAACCTGGGCGGAAATCCATGCCAGAGGGACGGTACGCCCTGGTCGTCTACTAGTGTCGCGTAAGAATGCCGCCAGCGCGATCAAGGGATAGCGTCTCACTGCGTCCCCACCCGACTTCCCAAACGGGACCCCTGGCAAACCACCAGAAAATCTCTCGTCACCCGGCCCGGGTACGCCCCACCACCAGTGCAACCGATGTGAGCCCGGCCCAGGTTACGCTCCCATGCTTCCATAACCTTTCCCAAATCCAATATACCGTCCCTGGGGTCCCATCCATTCCGTCTTTCATCCCACCTCCGTCACCTCTCTCCTTGCTCTTCAGTCTCAAAAAACAGACATCTCGTCCTGGCATCACCCTCTTGTCTCCTTCCTTTCGACAGACCGTGTGCCGTCCATTCGTTTTCAACCCACACAGCAACCACAGAACAAGCGGTTGCCCAATCAACAGACACCTTACCGTCGAAATTAGAGCTATCACCAACTTACAAACAACAAGACTACACTCATTGGTCATCGTCGAACACCAAAAAAACATCGCCTCGCACTTTTGCTCGACTTACATAGCTGTTGCTCGGGATTCTTGGTGAACGACACGTCGATTTCAAACTCTCCATCGGTCTCAGCAGCATATCAACGTGCAGTGATAAGGGCCAAACAACCAAACAAGCACCGACCATCTCTCCCACTGTTACCGAACGGGACTCAACAGGCCTCTCCCGGCTTGCCACAGGAATTGGCTGTGCTTTCCCACAGATAAGACTACGGATCTTCCATTGTCCCTCCGCATTATCTCAGGCATCTTCCTTGCCCCCCGCAGTCAAGCTCTTGTCTCTATCAACACTTGTTCCGCCGCCATCGGAGATAGGATTCTTCGCTCTCCGCAGCTGGCTGGAGTGAAATCTTGAAGGTTCCGTTATCTGCAAGTTTTTCCGCATCGGAGGACAATTATCGACGACACTCGGCTGTCATTTGGAAGGAATAGTGTCTCAAGTGATCAAAGGCCGGTCGGCAACGCAAAAAATGGCTGGATTAATTCCTCTTATGCTTGGGTCGAGCAAGCGGACAAGTCTTGCGCCAACACAACAGCAACAGCAACAACCACAACAACATCGCCGACATACTTCGGAACGAACATTCAGGACTAACACAGACCCTACATTTGCTTTCGCAAAGCAAAGCGTACCCAAGCGACAGTCACTCCCTGTACCCGCCCGCCCCTCTGCCTCTTCTTCTACACCCGCTCCTGCATCTCCAGCTCTTCCAGTCACTCCTGCACTACCACAAAACCGCAGCGAATGGAAGCGAGCAGTCGTTGAGATCAAGAAACTACACATCGGCAAGAGGTACAGGGCATGTTCGGCGCGCTGTATTGAACTCCTAGACAAAATCAAGGACAAGGAAGATGTGCGCGTCGAGCCGCTTTACTTGATCTACCTCCACTTCTACGCGGCTACCTGTATGGAAATTTGCGCCCGACCTCTACCCACGGCCTCCATGTTCCGCACTACCCTCCTCCAGCAGGCTCGCACACATTTCGAACAAGCTGCTTCACTCATTGGTGCTGCTGAGAACTCCGTTCTCAAGCAAGCATGGCGCAGTTCCGGCACCTTCTCATCTTCTGGATCTAGCTGCCACTCTCCCACCAGCTCCATCAGCTCATCCATCGATTCGCGGTCATGGACCCCAGAAACCCGCATGTCATCACCAACGAGTTCCGTTTTCTCTCAGGAAGATCTGGCAAACAACACAACAGAGTCGGCCAACCCCATGAAGCGTGTCAAGAAGGTATCATTCTCCGTTCCCCATGAGGAATTTGCCTTTGGTTTCTCTGAGCCAATGGTCCGCCCCGATTCACCGACTTTGGGTATGGATATTGGCTTTTTCCCGGCTACAGTTCCCAAAGTACCAGCGTCGCAGTACCAGGAGGTCGAGCTTCCCCTCCCGATCAACATGGACAGCCAACAGTTCGAGAACTGCGAGGAAGATGATGACACTCTCAACATCACAAAATCCATCGATCGTTTCCGCGATCAGCTGCATGAGCTCCGCGAACAGCTTGAGAGGCATTCGGCCAATCTAGACTACCAGCTCGAAGCCATGGCGACAGAGCCCCCCAAATCGCCCACAGGGGTGAATGGTGTAGGAAAAGAGGAGCTTCGCGCTCTCGACAGGCAGGCTCGCATTGAGCGGCTGCGCAGGGATGGTTGGCAACGCAAGCGATTCGATACCCAACGGTACGAGGAGCTCTGCGAAACTGTCTTGGCGGAGCTAACCCCCGCCTAAAATGAAATTTGATGATCGCCGTCCGGCATTTCATTCAAAGTCCATTTCATCGTCTCACACATCATCAAAATGGCCAGGGCACGAAAAGACTTCATGCATGACAGTTTAAATGAACATTATTTCCTCTATTCACCCAACATCTCATCATCACCAGGGATCATGACGGGGATCAGAAAACCCCCCACAAACTGGCGATCATCCCACTTAGACACAAGTCACCTTGTTCTATATTGTACCAAATTTGTGCAATTTGATTGCAAAGAAAGTTAGACCGGGATTATATTTCATCATCATCTTTGTCATTATATCTGGGGGATCGGCGGAGTCAATCTTGGTTTTACATTATAACACATGGCGGCGGAGTTCACTCAACGTTTTTTGGAATTTCATATTCTCTGTATCTATCAGTGTTTATCCATCCTTTTTCTAATCATTGGGCGGGCGGGCAATGGGACTTGGCTTGGTTGGGAAAGGATATAAACGGGCGAGGTGACGATGTGGGGGAGGGAATGCACTTGTTGCAGTTTTTTGGCTTGACATATATACAATATCCCTTTGTGCTTTTGCACATTTAGGGATCAAATAACAAGATCAATTTGATCATTGCTATCACCTTGGCATTCCAATTCATTGATATCACGTTGTCGCACACATAGCATGTAGCACATATCAGCCTTCAAATACCAGTGTCGTGAAGAAGTTATAGGAGACATCCAAAACGCGCACGCATGCACAAGTCGCGTCTGAAAACAACTTCAAGTCCAGGGCGGGAGAAAAGAAAAGAAAATGAAGAGGCAGACACTAGCTTTGGGCCAATTCCACCAAATGATCCCTCACTTCAATTTTACTTCGGTGGCGCTCCTTACGACTGGAATTAAGCGAAAATGAATCTTCACGGCGTGAGGTACGAATTTTTCTTTTTTCTCTTTTTCTATTATTATTATCATCGGATTTTGTGACACTGTTGACCTAAGTAGGTACCATGCATGGTACGTAGGATTGGCGACAGTAGCTACCTAACTATGCAATGGGCTTATTGCATACCTACCTATGTAGAGGTACTCTGGCTACCTACTCAACCCCATATACCTAGCTACCAACCGCTACCAACTTGAACCGCTTCTGACAGCTTGCTATTTACCTAGAGTTCCGGACCATTACCGGTAGAAACTACAGGTCAGGTTGGAATCCGTCGTGTTTTAGCTACGTTTAGTAGATATTATATTTCCTTCACATACCGCCGAGGTACCTGTTCGCGTATCTTCAAGGCATATCTTCGTGCTACAAACAGGAGCAGAGAGACTATAGAGAGAGATCAACTACCGTCTGTCGTGATCTAATGTAGCTTGAACTTTGACCAAGTCTTCACGAAGCCATATATAGTGTAGTGTCACAGTACGATCGGGGCTGGTGAAGCAAGGGATCCGACGGACGTAAAGAGATATTGGAGATGAAGAACGAAGAAGGAACTTGCAGTGTGGATGTGGATCAGATGGGTAGCGGTTTTTGCATGCGATGACAGACGAACAGATGGGTTGAGAGGCTAAAGATCGGATGGAGGAGACCCAAGGGTCTGGCAGGTGCTGGCGAAATTTCATCGTGTGATCGAAGACGGTTCTGATATGTATCCCGACCTGCTCAGCACAGGTTTACTAACATGACTATATTCGTATAACCTGCCAAGTGCCTCTACGAAGGAGCTAAGCAACCCTGACACCGTAGGTGAACAGCAACAATTGGACGTAGGACGTTCACGAGAAAGATTTGCTAATATTATATTCAACGCTGGCGAACCGCTGCAGGAATTCTCGTCGAGTAAAATTGGTCCCCAAGAACACAGGAGTCGTGACTTCCGCTTCCTCCCGGATATCCTGAGAAATGAAAGCGCTCAAGCCCAATATCAAACATAGAGCCTAGTATTGTACCAGAGCTCGCCACGCAGAACCCAACCAAAGACGCGCAATGTGCCCCCGTACGCTCACTCCATATCCGCATGCATCCAGAGATGTGCATGCTTTGGTATAAAACAACATCAACGACAACATCAGCAAGAACCCACCCTCATATGCCTATATTGTTACACGAGCTCCTCTAGGCTTGGAAGCTCTTCGCCTTCGTCTCCGCCTCTTCCTTTAGCTTGTTGGCCTCTTCCGCCTCTTTCATCTCGCGAACCTTAGCCAAAACAACCTCGCGGAAGATGGCCGTCTTGATAGTCTTGGAGAGTGTCCGCTTTTCGGCGGGCGCGGTGGCGTTCTCGGCGTCTGAGGATCCGCCCTTGGTGCTCGCCACAGATAGAGCATGGTGGCGGGACTGGGCCTGGTCGGCGGCAAGTGTCGCGTCGCCGGGCATATCAGTGTTCTCGGGGTCGTCCTCCTGCATCTTGAGCGCCTCGATGCGGTTCGCAAGCTTGACCATCTCGATGCCGCGTCTAAGGCGGGCCTTGGTAAGGTACGCTTTGATCTCGGGCAACAAGTTGTGGTTGGTTGCGGAATCGCCGCGCAGCCAGGGGTGAGCCAGAGCTTGCTAATTGATCGGGGCGTGTCAGTAGCCGTATCCGAGAACGCCAGATCAGCACACCATAACATGACTAAGTCTTACCTGGCTTGTCCACCGGTTCTCTGGCTTGGGCTGCAAAAGCCTCAGAATGAAGTCCTTGGCGTCGTTGCTAACGTCCTTCCAGTAGCGCTCATGGAAGACAACGCTGCCGCTGCTGCATTCGTCGATGAGGTCCTGAAGGTTTTCGGAGCGGAATGGCGAGTAGCCGCAGAGGAGGGTATACGTTATGACGCCCATTGACCACATGTCGACAGGCTTGCCGTGACCCTGCTTGAGCATAACTTCGGGCGCCGCATAACCGAACGAGCCGGCCATAGTGGTGAGAACTTCGTCCTTATTATCCAGCATTTTGGCAATACCAAAGTCAGCCAGAACTAGATCCGAATCGGCATCCCGGGTAAGGTATAGGAGGTTCTCAGGCTTGAGATCTGCGAAGTGAGGGTTAGATCAGGTGTCTAGGAAATGGACAAGTAAGGACGCCACTAACCCCGATGGACGACGTTGTTCTCGTGGAGGTAGTTGACGGCACCCAAGACTTGCTTGATGGTTTGGGAAGCATCTTTTTCTGTGAACTTTCCTTGCTCGCAGATCCTGTCGAAGAGCTCGCCTCCCGTCGCAAGCTGAGTAACGATATAGTATTTGTCCTAGAGGAAGTCAAGTTAGTCTCGGCGTAGCCACCCTAAGCCCGTAGCAATCATACACACCCTAGACTCGAACCAGTCGACGAACTTCACAATGTGAGGGTGCTTGAGGCGCTGAAGCATCTCTAGCTCGTCAAGAACCATCTGTTCGTTGCCCTTGACATTTTTCTTCAATATAATCTTGATAGCAACCCTGCCGGTAGGGCCGCTGGCCTCTCTGACGATACCATAGGTACCAGCACCTAGCGTTCGACCAAAGGAGTACTTGGACCTAATGTAGGGTGTTGTTAGTGCCATAGGCGGGGCAAGCAAACAGTCGAGAACGGGACTCGGAGGCGTACTTCTTGTCGTAGCTTTCGGGCTGCCCGTGAAGGCGATTAAGCATGTTGGCGACTGTGGATGAGGGATCCATTGTTAGCTGAGGTTCGCTCTACAACCAAATGGCATATAGTTGGAAAGGAAGAGGTATAGGGGTGTACGATGGGGGCCAGTTCTTCTTTGTCTATCCGAGGGGGAGAAGACTTGAGAGGAGACCTGAAAAGAACAGACCAAGACTGACGAGACCGCGCGGAAGTAGAGGGAACTTACAGCTCATGGTGTCAATGTCTGGAGAAACGAAGCAAGAAGGCGCGGTAGACGGATTGTGGGAGGGGGAAGAGCTGCTTGGTTCTCTTCCTTCCGCTCTCGAATGTGCAAGTGGCAGGAGGCTATCAACACTGATAACCGAACCGGTCGAGCTGTGAACTTGGACGAAACTTGTGGGCTGGCTTGCGATTGACCAGGACGAGGGGCTGAGGAGCTGAGATTCGGGAATGGGCTGCGAAGGAGTGGCAGAGCAAGACGAGAGGATGCTTGGCAGCAGTAGATTGGGCTGGACAAGAAAGGCGGCTGTCAGAGTTCAAGCTCTCGCTCCAGATGTACACATGTCAGGTAAGACGATAGGGGACCTGGGGGGTATCCGCTGAGTGTAATGCAGGCTGAGGGCAGGTCCCACCAACTCCACGATAGGTGGGAGTACGTACTTGGCCTGCAAACGGTGATGGGGTGTAAGCCCTGTGCAAGTGCGACTGACCGTATGGGGTTATTGGAGTGTCCCTCGCTTTCAGAAATAAGGATGGAGGGGGAAATCTGTGAAACGACGTTCACAATGGAAACTTGTGAAGGCCGGGGAGAGGTAATGAGAGAAGAGAGATCAAACCCAAACCCCGTGGGATGAAGGGCGGGATGCCTCCGCTTGCTTGTCTATTTCCACTGTCACTGCCACTGGCCTCCCGTCATTGTCCCTTATTCCACTTCTACGCTACACCCACATCCGCTCCACGGCACCAGACGGGGCGGGTCACCTTGACGGGCGCCTGGAAGGTGTTTTGGGCCCGACTCTTGGCATCTTCCCAAAATATAGGCAGCCAGTTGTTGGTGATTCTACTGCGTATGGATACTTATTTCTGGGAGCTTTCGGTTCTTAGAGTGGTAGGTTGAGCTACCGCTACAACAACATTCGAACTGAGATTCCATTCAACAAGGGGCTGTGAAGGAGGCCGTGGAGTGCTCAGCCCACGAACCGCCATGTCCCAAACAACCTCAAGTAGCGAGTCCACTGCGTAGGGTGCGCAAAGAGGGGCACTGGGGCACCATCTGGTCTGGGCGGGTCTGTGATTGGGGAGGGGTCAGGGCAGTGGGAGCTTTACGCAACAAGGGTCATGTCGGGTCTTTGGGCCCTCGTTTGAGCCTTGGGCAAATGGTGCTGAAATGCAGCCCTGCGTGAGCACTGCATAGTATCTAGGTAGGTAGACAGCATCGAACTTTGAGCACCTCGACTCATCCCATCACTATCACCGGTTAGGCGCACTTCCAAAATCAGATCCTACCTATGAATTGGGATGTTCACCGAGGAAGTGCGCGTGAATGATAGCATTTGAATCGTGCATACTGGACTATGGATAGGGCTCATTTGAGATGACTGGAGACTGAATAGATCAATGATGATCAGTGTCGAGTCCTTCACAGCCTGTCTGGCGATGGTGAAATTCTTCCAGGGACAACCAATATCAGATTGGCGATCCACTTCTCTGCCCGCAAAGTCCAGGTGCAACATCTTTCATCGATTCTATAACTCCCTCCACATTCTCAACGTCTTCGGCTGGTTGACTTCCTCATCAACACTGGCTTTTATGATGAAACCTTCAGTTCCTACTCACTGTACTACCTCTATAAAAAATCCGAAAATTATCGGTCATTAGGCGAGTAGTCACCATCGTGAACTAGCTGCAGTAAAGTTGGATATCATTCCCGCTGTGTCGTGGCTCGGCTTCATTTGTTTAATTCTGGTAAGTATTTGGATCTGGACGACCTCATCCTCAGACTTTACTAGACTGATGCTTTGTAGAGAATGGAGATAAAGTCAAACGGGGCAAAACTATGCATTTCCCTTTTGGCCATTCCCATGTTCTAGTGTACCTAACTGGCAGATATCGAGATTCCCTATGGCCTCCGATAGGCATCTTTCACGTGTAACATTCAATGGTACCTCCATGGCCCGAGCGCTGGCGATCTTTCCTATCAGATTCCAAATAGCCGGAAGACAACCTATCGGGCGAAGTGAAAGTGTTGGAAAGGTCACCGAGAAGACTGGAGGCTGTTCCAAAATCGCGTTTGGGTTTTCCACCTCAAACGGAAGCTACAGCCCTGCAGTTGTATTGACCAATCGACGAGTAGTCCCCCGCGCGTGGAATTATCATCTTTCAAGCGTGAAATGCGGTTTCTCTTCCTTTCTCTTGCGTCGCTCCTGGTCTTACCACTCGTGGACGTTGATTTCCGTCCCTCTTGAACTGATTGTCGCGACCCCTCCCAGCCTCAGCCCTACCAACAATTCCCTGCAACTCGGAGCAAGCGCTGCGCAATTCACCACCTCATTTGAATTTAGCAGTCTGGCATCAACAAAACTTCAGCTCGAAATCGCTCGGACAGGGACCGCAAGCTTAGGCTATCATCCAGGAATCCTTTCAGACTCGTCATTCAATACCTCTGCTGCTTCTCCAGGATTGGGATTGGTCAAACATAACCCCACCAACCTCAGCTACATCACCTGCTGAAGATTATTAGTCCGCCTTTCACTGTTGTCTTGTAAGGCTCTCCCATTCGCCATCGGAGACTGTCGCTGCTGCAACACTGTCCCGTAGTCACTCAGCAATTATGCCGGTACAATTTGCTGCGAAGAGGCTGGGGAAGGAATTGAATAAGGTTAGTTGGATTTCCGGACAGCCCTCACACCCCATATAGGTTGGACTGAATTCGGAGACTGATTGCAACGACTGACGCGATTACGTCCTGTCCATCAGATCCAAAATGGCCTCCCACCTGGTATTGAGCTCATCTCCGCGGACAACTTGGAAGAGTGGCTCCTGGATATACGAGTCCTCGACAACAACCCGCTTTACCTCAACGATACATATCGACTAAAGTTCCGATTCGGCCAGTCATACCCCATCGGTACGCATGATTAATATGTGATTGACTGCGGTTGGAGCAGCAGCTAATCAACTTCTAGAGCCTCCCGAAGTGGTATTCGTCAAGCAAGCCGACCGGCCGATTCCGATCCACCCGCACATCTATTCCAACGGAATCATCTGTCTCGACCTACTCGGTCAACAGGGTTGGAGTCCCGTGCAAAGCGTGGAAAGTGTGTGCATGAGCCTACAAAGCATGTTGACCGGGAACACCAAGAACGAACGACCTCCCGGCGATGAGGAATTTGTTCGCGCCAACAAGCAGCGCCCCAAGGATATCGAGTTCTATTATCACGACAATACCGTCTAGAGGAAGAACGGGGGTCGGCGGCAGAACATCTTGCGAAAATTGCGCTGGGAAATGGGAAGGCGTTACTTCTTCGGTACACAGCGCTTCCAGCGTCCAATCTGGATGGTCTAGTCATCCACACTGAATGGGGTGTAGTTCGTATTGTTTGCATTATGAGGAGTTCACATACTTGCAAGTTGGCTGGGATTTAAAACTGGCGCATAAAGGGTCAGGGAAGGTGAGTTGAAGTTGATGAGCATTCGGAATTGCTCGACTCGGCACTGGAACAGCGAGCCTGTTTGATATGCAATTTTCGCAAGATTGGTGATTAGTTATACTCAGCACCAGGAACTTAAATCTCACCAAATACTCAGCATAACTATTAGGCAGCGAAAGACATTGATTGATTTTCTACGCGATGAACCTATGGTTGTTGTTGTTCGTCACTTGGGAGATCAGACATGAGAAACAGTCAATCAGTCCAGATGACGTAAGATTGAATGTCATCCCGATAAGAAGACGATAAATCTTATCAGTTGCCAGCACCGCCCATTAGGTCTGTCCGAGCCTTTCGAACACACCCAGCCTTGAATCTTGAGGGCACCAATGCTGGGTAATCGAGTAGATGATTCCACGTATCACCTCAGCATTGCTGATGACCCAAGATTCCATTCTGTCTCCTAACATTATAGGGGTACAAGTATGGGTACGGGAGAGTGTTATATGTACTGAGGATGAACGACATTCCAGCCTAACTGATCGACCCACTTCAGCCCACTGCCCTGAGATAAGGTACCCTGCGAGCCTGCCTCCCTGCGCTTTGGGGTTTGCGCCCAGGCGGTGCAGTGAAGCACAACATGAACCCAGCCAGCAGGGCGGAGTCGGGGCGGACCAGCCGACCAGGTCGGGAGCTCGAGCTTCACCCTCCTTCGTCATTAACCGCCCGCCATCCTAGGATCCACACCACAACACCAACAGCCGCATGAGGAGAACTCGACCACCATGGCTCCCCATGCGGAGTTCGACATCGAGCAGATCAGAGAAAAGGGCCGCAAGGACATCTTGTATCTCTTAGAATCAGTATGTACAACCGTAATACCCCCCAAAACCACCCAAGCCAGGCAACATCGGCCAGACGGAACGACCTTCGCAACGCTTGGTGCAAGTGCTGAACTGACGGCAGCTTGTGAGATCCTGTGCAGGTCCGCGGAAAGAAGAACATTGTGATTGAGAAGAGCTTGGCTGGTCCACTTAACGCCTTTGTCGGAGCGTCCACTTTGCGCGACTATGGTGCCGATAACTTCTTCTTTCTTGAGAACAACAACACCGACTCGAGTCAGCGCAATGTGGTCTTCATTGCCCGGGGCGAACTGGCCCATCATGCTCACGCGATAGCAGGTACGAACGCCAACCATATTCTCACGGACAAGAGAAACCGCCCGCAGGTCCATGAAGGTGCTGACAGGTTTTCAGATCAAATAAAACGTCTACAGCAAGAGAGCCAGTCTCCCCACGAGTTCCACGTTTTTTGGGTACCCCGCCGAACGCTGGTTTCAGACAAGGTACTGGAGGAGGCCGGTGTCTTGGGCGATACCAATGTCGCCGAGCTACCACTATACTTCTTCCCGCTTGACACCGATGTCTTGTCCCTCGAGCTAGACGACTCGTTCAGAGACCTGTACCTCGCGAAGGACCCCACACCAGTCTTTCTGCTTTCCAAGGCCTTGATGGGTATTCAACAAAAGCATGGCCTCTTTCCCAGGATCGTTGGCAAAGGCGAAAACGCTAAGAGAGTCGCTGAATTATTGTCTCGTATGCGACAGGAAATTCTCGCTGGCGAAGAAGCAGCCGAAGGGGACAAGATCGGCCTGTCGCCTAGCACCACTAACGAAAGTGTTATCATCATTGACCGTGAAGTTGACTTTGTCACACCCCTTCTGACACAGCTGACCTACGAGGGCTTGATCGACGAGGTATTCGGTGTCCAAAATAACCAGGCCGATGTAGACTCGACGATCATCGGCGCACAGCCGGAACCACAAGGCTCAACCACTGCCGCCGCTGCCGTCGTGAACAACGGGCCTTCGCGCAAGCGCAAAGTCCAACTTGATTCCTCCGACAAGTTGTTTGAGCAATTGCGCGATGCAAATTTTGCAATTGTCGGAAGTCTTTTGAACAAGATTGCTCGTCGCTTAAAGAGTGACTATGAGAGTAGACATAGCTCCAAGACAACAGCGGAGCTCAAAGATTTTGTCTCGAAACTTCCGGGATACCAGGCCGAACAGAAGAGCCTCAAGATTCATACCGGCTTGGCGGAGGAGATTATGAAGTATACTCGCACGGAACATTTCAGCAAAATGCTAGAGGTTCAGCAGAATCTCGCAGCCGGAGCAGATCCATCATCCCAGTTTGAAGCGATCGAAGAACTAATAGCACGCGACGTCCCACTGCCGCAAGTATTGCGATTACTATGCGTGTATTCATGTACCTCGGGCGGAATCAAGACCAAGGAGTTCGATCACTTTCGGCGCCTTATACTGCAAGGATATGGCTATCAACACATACTCACACTCCATAACCTAGAGAAGCTTCAGGTGTTCCTCTCGAGGTCGTCCCCTCTGGCATCCATGATCCCCATGACTGGATCTGTTGGGGCGACGGGAACGAAGACCAACTACACATATTTACGGAAGCAGCTGCGACTCATTGTCGACGAGGTCAACGAACAGGATCCCAACGATATTGCCTACGTCTACAGCGGCTATGCGCCTCTTTCAATACGCCTTGTTCAGTGCATCCTTCAGAAGCAGTATTTGCTCTCAATCACAAAAGGAGCAGCTTCCACCAACACAGCCGGACCAGCTGCAGGAGGCGCACAGGGATGGCGTGGGTTCGACGACGCTGTCAAGCATGCCCGAGGTCCGACATTTGATGAGGTGCAAAAGGGCGAGGACAAGGCTGTCAAGGCTCGAGCGCTGTTGTCCGGTAACGACGGCCAGAAGACAGTGTTTGTCGTGTTCGTCGGCGGTATCAGCTTTAGTGAGATTGCGGCTCTTCGGTTCATTGCGAAGAAAGAAGAAGGTATGTCGCTATTCTATGTCTCGGTGTGCTCAAGCTGGCCGCAGAAGCACAAGAAGCCAATCGATCACTAACTGGGGTGTCACGAACAATAGGTCGGAGAAAAATTGTCATCTGCGCGACGTCCATTATTAGCGGAAACAAGATGATGGAGGCCGCGATCGAGAATGGGACATTTGGTACCGAGAGCCTGCAACAGGAGTCGGATAGTTGATATTGCTTGATTGGTAGAGACGGAGGGTTGATTGATACTTGATTCTGGTCGGGGAAACGTCCACAACAGACGCGGAATACAGAAGCATACCATGACCACAGTTGGGAAAGTCTAGGCTGTGCTCATAAGACGTAGATGGAGTGAAGGGAGCCATTGACGATATTTGCTGCGAACCAGAAAGCATTCTGGCTTGGAGGAGAACATGAGCCCTCTCCCATTCACAGGGATTGTTATCCTCTCTCTGCGCCTCACGTGATTGGAACACGGACCTTAATTACTCGTAATAACGCGCAATGGCTGAAAAGAACGCTTTTGCATCAATTAAGTAAAACGACCAGCGTTAATTTCTTGTCACTGAAATTCTGAGCATGCGCTAAACCTTACCGACCTTCCGCACTTTCTAAGGGCGCTGTTACCAGTGGGAGTGGGTTCCGTTCCAGGTCTCGGGCAGCAGATCCGTCAGTGCGACTGTATCAGCACACAGACTGGAGACAACGGCAGCCAGACAACAACCTCGAAGGCTGAAGCAACAACAACAGCAACAGCAAAGTCTACAATTTATATATTTTCTCTAGTCAATCTGCGACGATTGAGGAACTGAGAAATATCGATGCACTAGCTGCCAAGGGCGTCGTAGCCAATATCACCAAGTATTTCCCCTCAGCAATCGACGACCTTTCAAACCGAGACGGCGACGTACCAATCGTACGACGTCTATGAGACGAAACTTCAACATTGCTCCATGGGCTGCGATATGATATTGCGAGGTACATATACCATTTTCGACGTCCATTTCCTTCACCCATTTGCACACAATACCGTACATGGTCCAGCCATAACCACTTTCCTCCATACTATCACGCATCCTTCACTGTACAAGGTCCTCAGGCCTTACTTCAATATTCAACTTGGGCTGACCAGAAGACTCAGAAGCCGGAGCATTTCTTGTATCATAGCAACAGGCAGTCCAGTCGAATGGCCGGGTTTCACACTATCATCATCATCACCCGAACCGGCTCCATCTTATCCTTTGCCCTCCGCTGAATCCGGTGTGGCCTGTATATATGGAAGCAGGCCCACTTCGACGTGAGCGAAGACGACGGTGCCGATCTATCAACCCCATATTCCAGTCCAGCGGTTCTTTTCTAGTCACCCAACTGCCGCTCTTTCAAAGCTATGGGCAACAGTTCGCGGACTCGTCCAGGGCAGACTAGTAGTAGCGGTATCGCAAAGGGTCAGACAAAAGACGTCAAGGAAGTCAACTTATCACGCTCAAACCGATCCAAGCCTTCGAACTCCGCCAGGCACCCGCCTATGAAGAGAGCAAGGACGCCCGTGGGCGGCCACTCCGCAGATACTAGCTCGTCGACGAGTTCAGAAGATATTGCACCGGAAATTGTGGTCTGGACTGGGGACATGGATCTGATGGATTCAGAGGAGTCGCCCTTTCCAGAAAGCCCACTGCCGACAGACGAGTATGTTACCATGTTTGTTTTTCCTCATCAACTTCATGGCAACCCATGTTCAACTCCCACTTGCCCTGGATTTCTTCGCTGTTCCTCATCGCTGACTTCCATGTAGCTCCTCACAGTTACCATCACTATCGCGAGCCCCAGAAGGACCAAGTGTCCTAGATGGAGACGCTTCGAGCCAGTTTTCATCGCCCTTGTCGGAGCCTCCAGAGTCGTCACCAATTATATCACCTCAAGATGATATCGCGGTGGAGCAGGAAAACCCGATCCCTCAATCCGCAAGTAGCTTATCAGACCAGCATTCGAACTCATCATCCCATGCGCCATCCGTGACGAGCAAGGCCACGACTCCTGTGGATGCGGATAGACCGAAGGAGCCTCCAACAAGACAAGAGTTATCTGAGCCACAGCCTTCTCCGCTAGTATCTCCCTCTCCGGAGCCGCCTGTGGAAGAGCAGCAACCGAAACCCACTGTGGAGGAACCTCCTCAACCGGATGAACAACCACAAACTGAGCTACAAGAAGAGCCAACAGCTCAACCGGAACGGGTAGCTCGCCTTTCGCCTTTGCCAATGATTGACGAGCCCCTTTCGGCAGCAGTTGAAAGTGCAGCTCCACCTCAGGGCCCAAAGTCACCGATGAACGAGCGGAAGATCAAGCAAGAGTCGCCGGAGGAGGTAGTGCTGGAATCAGCAAGGCAAGCTTCGCTGCCTCAAGATGCCGGAACCCTTGATGTATTGATGGAAGAAGCTCCAGGGACGGATGCTGTGGTGCGAGAAGCACCAACGCAAGATGTCTCGATGCTGGAAGCACCACCTCAAGATACACCGGACCGAGAAGCACCACCACTGGATATAGTCATGGATGAACCTCCGGCTTACGAGTCTCTAACTCATGAAGCACCGGCAGAAAACCCTGCAGCACAAAGTCTTTCGACGCTAGATGCTCCAGCACAAGAAAAAACAGCACAAGAAGCTTCGATCTACGCGACGCCAGTACACGAAGTCCCAGCCCAGCCAACACCAGTACAAGGATTCTTGCCTCAAAACGCAGGGACAAATACGGTGTCCACGGACACCCCGAGGCGGCGATACAACGTCCGCCCCAAAGTCACCATACCCCCCGATCTTCCGCTACCGGATTATGCTATGCAATGTATTACGGCCGCGGAGGCTTCGAGACTCAACCCATATGCTTTGCACCAGGAGGAATATCTCATGCTTAGAGACCATATCAGCCACGCCCAAGTAACAACGTACCTGAATATCAGGAACGGTATTCTAAGGTTATGGGTAAGGAATCCCCAAATAGCTGTTACTCGAGAGGAAGCTGTTGGGTGTGCCAAAGACACTCGCTGGTTTGATGCCGCTAGCCTATGTTTCGATTGGCTTGTTCGTCGGGGGTATATCAACTTTGGGTGCGTAGATTATCGCCATTCAAAGAGGCATACTTCCAAAGACCCACCGGCTATAACCTTCAAGCGAAGAACGGTCGCTGTTCTAGGGGCAGGTATGGCTGGATTGGGCTGCGCGAGACAGCTTGAGGGACTATTTGCGCAATATGCAAAGAAGTTCAGAGACATGGGTGAAGAGCCTCCGCGAGTGATTGTAATCGAAGGCCGGAACCGAATAGGCGGCAGGGTTTACTCTCGCCCTTTTGCGTCTAAACCTGCACAAACCCCGGATAATTTCCACGGGAAGCGATTTACCGCAGAGATGGGAGGTATGATTATCACGGGATTTGAACGCGGCAATCCCATCAATATCCTGCTCAGGGCACAGCTCGGAATTCCATACAGGCCGTTGCGACCAGACACCACTCTATACGACTCGAACGGCAAGCCCGTAGATTTACACCGAGATCAGCTGGTTGAGAATCTGTACAATGACTGCCTTGATCGGGTCAGCGAATACAAGTTCAAGCAGCCCACCTCGAAGCTGATTGAGGGTAATAGGGAGTTGATTGACGAGGGCAAGGATAGCTCCGCAGAGGCCTACAAAACTATAAGGCAGGTTGAAGAATCAACTGCCGCTCAGCCGCATGCGCCGCCTGTGTCGGAGCAGAGCATAGCACCACAGGTGAATCTTGTGCCGATCTCGTCGGACCGTGCTACAGGTCGCGTTCACACCGAGCCTGGCACGCCAGGCGCACTCAAAGCAGCATACAAGGCGAAACTTTTGGGGTGGGCCTTGAAGCAGGGTGTCTCAGAAGATGCCGACCTCGACCTCGAGACACCGGCCAAAGAGCCCGGTGCCAACCTCGGGAGCGTTGTCGACAACATGTTCGCTCAGTACAGAGATATTGTGGACTTGACTGCACAAGACTACCGGCTCCTGAACTGGCACGTTGCCAACCTGGAGTATAGCAATGCCATTAACTACAATAAATTAAGTCTCCAGGGATGGGACATTGATGCCGGTAACGAATGGGAAGGAAGTCACACCATGGTCATCGGCGGCTATCAGAGCGTACCGAAGGGCCTTATGCTCCTACCCACGCCGCTCGACGTCCGACGAAGGTCACCCGTCAACAAAATCACATATACGACAGAAAGCACGGCAGGGCCAGCAGTAATCGAGTGCGAAGATGGATTCAAGGTGGAAGCTGACTTCGTGGTCAACACGATACCTCTGGGCGTGCTCAAGCATGGTAATATCAAGTTTGAACCACCGCTGCCGGAATGGAAGTCCAGTGCCATCGAACGTATAGGCTTTGGTGTTCTCAACAAAGTCATCCTCGTGTACAAGGAGGCATTCTGGGATGAGGATCGCGACATCTTTGGTGTCCTAAGAAACCCATCTAACCGGCACAGCCTGGATCAGAAGGATTACGCCTCACAAAGAGGTCGTTTCTTCCAGTGGTTTAATGTAACCCAAACCAGCGGCTTACCAGTCCTGCTAGCTCTTATGGCTGGCGACGCCGGCTACGACACCGAACAAACCTGCAACGACGATCTCGTCAAAGAAGCAACCGACGTCCTTCGCCGCGTCTATGGGTCAAAGGTCCAACAGCCGATTGAAGCCATCGTAACCAGATGGGCATCGGACAAGTTCGCGCGCGGAAGCTACTCCTCCGCGGGTCCCGACATGAAAGCGGATGACTACGACACCATGGCCAAGCCCGTCGGCAACCTCTTTTTCGCGGGCGAGCATACATGCGGCACCCACCCAGCCACCGTCCACGGCGCCTACCTCTCCGGTCTCCGTGCCGCCTCCGAGGTCCTCGAGGCGATGCTCGGCCCCATCGAGATACCCACGCTACTCATCACCCCCAAGGAATCATCCTCCCTATCCCTGAAGCGCAAAGCCGCAGCTCTTTCATCCGAATTCACCACTACTACCGTCACGAACAGCTACGGCACCATGTCCTCTACCCGTAACCCCGAACAAGCCCGCCTCGAAGCCTACGACATCTCCCTCTGGGACTCCATCACCTCGCAAATTGGCTTGCGCCCCCCGAAACCCTCCAAACCCGTCGTATCAGGTTACATCTTCTTCAGCAAAGCGCACTACGACGACGCGCGCAAGCGGTGCGAAGCCGGTCGCAGACCGGGGAAGGGCAAAGCAAGCGGCAACGAGGTCAGGATGATGAGTGCCAAGATGTGGAAGGATGCTTCACCGGAAGAAAAGAGACCGTTTGAGGAACTGGCGGAGGAAAGCAAGCGTGCATATGCGGTGGCGATGAAGGAGTGGACTGAGAAAGTACAGGAGTGGGATCGCAAAGCGACGGAGTTGAAGGAGGTTTACGAGAGGGAGAATCCGTATGTGCCATTGAGTGCGCTGGTTGTTAAGAGTGAGGAGGGGGTTGCTGCTACTGCTGCTAGCGTTTCTAGTGGCAGTAATGGGAGGAATGGGAGGAGGGCAAGGTGGGCGGGTGAGAAGGTGGGGAGTTATGCGGAGGATGGGGGGAGTGATGTTGATGTTGGGATGACTGGGTGAGGTCAAGACGCTTCAAGCAAGTGAGTGAGTGACCGGGTCAAAAAGTCAAGGAAGTTGAAACTGGAAAAACTGGATTGAGCGGGAAGGAATACGCAAGACGATCGCCCGGTGCTGTGGGTTTTTCGGTTGTCTCTTTTAAAGAGTGACCTTATCAGGCATTTGGCAACGCATGAAAGAAGGAAATGGGGGGTCGTTAGTATGGTGATAGCTTGAACCAAGCCTAGGCGCTAGAATAGATCAAAGAGAGTACGTTCTTCATATCTTTATTTCCACCTCCACTTACACACACACACACAGTAACTCTTTGTTCCACTCTTTATCATTGTCCCAAGGGCATAGATGCAAATGTCGCCTATACTAAAACCAGGCGGGGAAGTGAGTATGTACAAAACTCTACAGTAAATGAAGCAGCCAGTCCTTTTGACCGTTGAACATCGGAAAAGGATTAGGAACTTCCATCCCATCTCCCATGCTCTTCACACATTCAATCCCATCAAGCGCCTACAAACAAGCGACGGCGGCGCGGAAATGGAGGCGGGATAAGACAGGATGATATTGGAAACACAAGCAACCTCACAAATATACGAACCCGTCGAGATGGAAGCCCCAGCCCTTATCACCCATCTGCTGCGGCTTTTATTTCGAATAAAAGTCGGCCGGCGGCGTAGTCAGGTTGCTTACTGAGAATTTACCAACGAATGTGTACTGAGCGACATTGTCATGCCTCTGACAAGCGCTCATCCCAGCTGAGATTTGTTGAGTGGACTGAAACTACAACGGCTATTTCCTCGAGGCTTACTAACTACGGAGTAGGCAGGTGTGTAAAAGAAGTTGTACAATTTTTGGACTGAAGGCGTTGGTACAGTAATGAGAAAGCTAGCTCATTCGTTTGATACAAAGGCATTTGGCACGCAGCGTTTTGGACTGGAACTAGACATACCACACACCACGCACACCCGTACACTTTCGAACGGCATGGTTGAATGTCAAGTGAGAGTGCAGACAGGGATGATGGATTTCGGCTTTGGACCCTTTTCTTTTGCTCAGGTCTCCTCTCCTTTTCCCTCAATACATCTTCGTCTTCTATTAATAGACTGCGGTTGTTTAGGCTGCTGTTTACATATCGGCCGAAGCGGTGGCACCAGTGATAATTTCGACCAACTCGCCGGTAATGACGGCCTGGCGGGTACGGTTGAAGAGAATCTGGTACTTGCTGATCATCTCGCCGGCGTTCTTGGAAGCGTTCTGGATAAGGGATAAGAGAATTCACGTCAGCAGCCTGTCCGCTGTCGACTTCAAAGAGGTGGCATGGGACGGGAGGAGAACTCACGTCCATGGCGTTGCGACGGGCAGAAATCTCGCAGGCGTGACCCTCGCAGAGAGCCCAGTAGAGGGAGTTGGCGAGGGCGTACTCGCGGAGGTTGCCAAGGACCTCTTCATCAACCTCGAAAGCGGAGAAGTTGGCTGGATATAACTTGGTTAGCTGGCTGAACCTCGACGGGCATCATGGTGGCCGACAGGACGTACGGGAAGCGAGGATGGCATCCTCGGAAAATGCCTCAATGACGGTGGGCTCGTAGCTGGTGGCGTTGATGAACTTGTTGTAGACAATCTCAACGGAAGAGTAGTCGCCCTTGAGCTGGGTGATCTGGTCGGCGATGGCAGAGGCCTCGACGAAGGTGGGGATGTCCTTGCCAACACCGGAGAAGTTGAGGACGATGTCCTTGGCGTTGGTACGGGAGAGCTGGGCCTTGGCCTTCTCGCCGATGATGACGATGTCGAACTCAGGCTCGGTGGCGGCGCGGCGACGGATGAAGCGCGCAAGACCGGAGTGGACACCACCGCAGAGACCCTTGTCGGAGGAGCAGACGACGACGAGCTTCTTCTTGCCCTCAGCCTCGAGAGGCTTAGTCTCGGCCGAGGTGAAGACCTCGTTGCTGGTGGCACCGTAGCCGCGGGACTCGGTCATGGCACGCTGGGCGCGGTTGAGCTTGGTCGAGGCAACAATCTTCATGGTGTTGGTGATCTTCTCGATGTTGCGGATCGACTTGAGGCGGGTCTCGATTTCACGGAGAGTCGCGAAGGTGGCCGCGCCGGGAGCAGCCGCTCTGTTGTCATGACCTTCAATCAGTCTGCATGTTCTGTCTCAAGGTTCGATGTGTCGGGGCTATCGCGTGTCCGTTCTCGTTCTCGTGTGTGTATGGGTGTGTGTGTGTGTCCAACTCCTCTCCTCTCTCTCCCCACCCAACCCGTTCCCTGCTTGCTTGCTTGCTTGTGCTGCCCCTCCATATATCGGACGTCATGTATCGGGGACCTGGCGGCGCATCGCATTCTTTTCCCAGTCGCACAGAGAGCTGAGAGCCAGACGAAGACCCGGAGGAGCTGTAGTCGGTTGGTGCACGGTGGTTGACGAACAGACGGAGGCGAGATGGCGAGATGTTGAACGGAGACGGACGGAGCACTCTTACGGAAGAAGGACATGTATTTTTTTTTTCTTGGGAGAGCACCTACCGGGACGAGACGGCGGCTCCAGCTCTCAGGGCCGGGCGGGCAGCTCTGGACAGCATGTTGAGATGGATATTTGACGAGGGAGAGACCTGCTGGAGAGGAGTGGCCCGGGGTTGACCACTTGATATTCAGGCGGCAATTGATCGTGGGGGAGTGATCAATAGGAATAGGACGCAATTGGCGTGAGAGGTTTGCTGAGGTCGGTTCCACACTTTCCGCTCTCTGCTCACTTTCCGGCCGTGCTTTCTTCGTGAGGTGTGGCTCGCCATCGTGCCGCTGTCCAGTCCCAGTCGGGCGCCTTCGCCTTTTTCCCGGCTAGAGCCTGGCAATGGCTGAGGAGTGCTGCCCGGCTATTGGCTTGGTTACTGGCTGCCTGCCAGCTGCGGTGTGCTCCCCACGCAGCACCTCACTTATCTAGTGTACCTATGTAATGTAGGTGTAGGTGGAAGGCCATCTTGCTGCCGAGTTCTGCCAAGCTTTCTTGCCAGCCATGACAGCTGCCAGAGCTACCATGTGGGTGGGGCACCCGGTCTGGCCCGCACCTGCGATCCTGCACCGCGGCACCAGTCTTCACTTGCAGATGGACAAGCGGTACAACTCACTACACCGGCGGCTTTTCAATTGTGAAATTGAAGGCTGTCTTGAAAAGCTCTTTTTGTTCCGTTCCTGTTGGCCACCGTGCCATCCACCTCACTGAAACCTGCCTACTTAGCATCGATCCGGATGTGAATTTGGTGCTCACTTGAACGAGGAAGTGCCTTGCAAACGGTTGTATCAAAAGCGTCCACGTCTCAGTGTCCATAACAGTAAACAACTTGAACCCAAGTCACCCACAGATAAGCAAGCACACGGAAGCTTCACTAGGGTGGAGATCAGACGACGCGGTGTTTTTTTTGTTTGAATGAATAAGGTGGTTAAGTATGCCTTCAGCTTTCTGGAGCAATCATTGTGAGGCTAGGTGATCACGATCCCAGTGGTGCCTAGCGTAGTGTTGTTGGAGCGTCTTGCCACACGCAGCTGAGAACTTCCATTCCATAGGTACGTCTACGTACCACACTCACGACACTGACGGGCGCACGCTACGCTAGAAACTGAACGCTCAGACTCAAGGTACCGAGAGCGGGGACGCGCTAAAAAGGTACCGGCCTCTCAAAATCGACCACCTCAGGGATTTTGGGGCAGGTGAGGTGCACCGACCCAGGCGAACCAGGGAGAATTGCGGTACAGACTGGACCTGGCGAACACCCCCCTGCGACCGCGACGACGCATCGAAACCTTCCCTTGGCTGGAGTCCCGACTGGAGACTCAGTTCTCACTCACACACCCACACACCCACACCCACAGCACCCATCGATACTTCCACAGCCTTTCTGGCGGTCCTGGCAACGACTGCCCAGAAAGAGTTGCAGGGTGGAGCCCCAGGATTTATCTTTAACAGCCTCCCGACTGCCCTTGCTTCCCGAATTCGTTCATGCTGCCCTCCGCCTTCGCTTTTTTCCCTTCACTTCTTCTCCCTCACCTTGCGCCATTCTGGTTCTCTCCACCCTCCAGGCTCTCCAAATCCTCTCTTTTTTTTTTTTTCACACACTCGTTCCATCGACCGGCCATCTCGATATCTCGCGCACCCAAGACCTTGACGAGTTCCCGAGACCCTCGCTTTCCAGCCTTTGGTCACCAAGTGACTTGCACCAAGACTCTGTCCACGGTCAAAGGTGTAAGCGGTCACCTCCAGCGGCGAATCTCTTTCTCTCCACGTCTCCCTTCCTAGCGACGACCGACGACAACATTTTCGACTCGGTTGCCCTGCAGACATCTTGCTAGCAACCTTCGCCACTGTTTAGCGGCCGCTACCTCTACGGGTCGGATTTTGCGCCCTTACACATTCGTACGTACCTACTAGTGCCGACACCGCAACACGCTTTAGCAACCATGTCTTCGGGCTCTGAAGACGACAAGCCGCTCGCCAAGGTCAACGGCCACGGTACGTCAATGCTTCTGTGATCAGTCACACCTTTCCCCATCAACCCTCGCTCATTTCACTCTATCCTCTGCCCCGTCACACTGTTTGCCAACCGATTTGAGTCAACGTGTCATGCCTTCCATGGCCTCGCCTAGATGCAACCTGTCATTGTACCACGCCCATGAGACTAATCTTTTCTCTTCGACTATAGCCTCGGCGCCGACCATCTCCAAGGCCGATGATCGTGCCATGGACGCTGCTGATTCCAAGGTTCATATGGCTCCCGTTGGTGTCTCCATCCGTAATGGCCCCGTCGACCAGGACAGGATGGACATCGACTCCTCAGTAAGCGGTCAGGCTAAGCGCAAATCGCGGGCATCCATTGATCAGTCCATCAACTATAAGGATGACTCCAGTGATGACGAAGCACCCTTGGTAAGTTTCCCTGTCTTTCCAGCTTGGTATCCATGCTTGGTCTGTGGCTGACCAGGACAGGCGAAACGTTCAAAAACACAACATAAGCAACCAGACTCCGATAGCGACGACGAGCCGATCGCGAAAAAAAATGGCGCGAGATTGCCTCCCTCCGCCAAGAATACGGATATGGACGTAGATTCTGATGACGACGAACCTCTCGGAAAGATCGCCGCAAAGAAGGCCAATATCGAGAAGGAAGCCGCTAAGGAAGCCAAGAGTATTCGTGCTGGTACCAAGGCCAAGAAGCCTGCTGCTAAGAAGGCCGTCAAGGATGAATCCTCCGATGACGAACCCCTTGCGAAACCCACCAAGCGACAGGTCAACGGCACAGCTGCGAAGAAGACGAATGGTGTGAAGAAGGAAGAGTCTGACTCGGATGTGCCCATCGCTAAGCGGGCGAAGAAGGCACCTGCCGCAAAGCCTGCTGCAAAGCCGGCTGCAAAGGCTGCCACGAAGGCTGCCCCGAAGGGCAAGGTTGCCGCTGTCAAGAAGTCCGTCAAGGAGGAATCGAAGGACATCACCGATGAGGACGATGAGGAAGAGGAGTATAAGTGGTGGGAGGAGTCGGCAAAGAAGGAAGATGACAGTATCAAGTGGACCACCTTGGAGCACAACGGCGTCATCTTCCCCGAGGATTACCAGCGTTTGCCCAAGGACGTTAAACTGCTCTACGATGGAACGCCGGTCGAACTCGATATCGAGGCCGAGGAAGCTGCGACCTTTTTCGGCTTCATGCTTAACTCGACGGTGAATGTTGAGAACCCAACTTTCCAGAAGAACTTCTTCAGGGACTTCAAGGAGATCCTAGATCGGACAGGTGGCGCCAAGGACAAGAATGGCAAAAAGGTTGACATCAAGGAATTCGAAAAACTCGACTTCTCCCAGTTGTGGGCTTACAAAGATGCTCAAACGAAGGCTAAGAACGCCCGGTCGTCAGCAGAGAAGAAGGCCGAGAAAGCCGAAAGGGACAAGAGGGACGCCCCCTATCTATATTGCAAGTGGGATGGGCGAAAAGAAAAGGTTGGTAACCCCAGAGTGGAAATTCCAGGACTTTTCCGCGGTCGCGGTGATCACCCCAAGACCGGGTGTATCAAGAAGCGTGTTTTGCCAGAGCAAATTACCATCAACATCGGCAAAGAGGCCAAGGTCCCAGAGCCGCCAGCTGGCCACAAGTGGAAGGCCGTTCAACATGACAACAAGGCAACTTGGCTCGCGATGTGGCAAGAGAACATCAACGGACACTACAAGTATGTGATGTTGGCAGCAAACAGTACTGTGAAGGGCAAGGCCGATTTCAAGAAGTTCGAAAAGGCCCGTGAGCTCAAGAAGTACATTGATCGCATCCGTGCCGATTATACCAAGGATCTCAAGAGCGAGGTCATGGCTGACAGGCAACGCGCAACGGCCATGTACCTCATTGACAAGTTCGCTCTCAGAGCCGGTAACGAAAAGGATACCGAGAACGAAGCCGAGACTGTCGGTTGCTGCTCTCTCAAGTACGAGCACGTCACCCTCAGGGAGCCCAACACTGTCATTTTCGACTTCTTGGGCAAGGACAGTATTCGTTTCTACAACGAGTTCACGGTCGATCGCCAGGTCTTCAAGAACCTCAAAATGTTCAAGAAGCCTCCCAAGGAGGACGGAGATGACATCTTTGACAGACTGACGGTATGTTTAATCTAACCCACTTTACAAGATTGGAGGTTTGCTAACGCGCTGTGCAGACAACCCAACTCAATAAGCACTTGTCGAGCTACATGCCTGGGCTCACGGCAAAGGTTTTCCGTACTTACAACGCATCGTACACCATGTCCAAGCTGCTGCAGGAGCTCAAGGTGACGAATGCCACTGTACATGAAAAGGTTAAGCTCTACAATGACTGCAACCGCCAAGTTGCTATTCTTTGCAACCACAAGCGTACTGTCGGTGCTAGCCATGAGCAGCAAATGAAGAAACTTGTCGAGCAGATCAAGGGTTTGCGATACCAGAAATGGCGGACAAAGATGATGATGCTCGACCTTGACCCCAAGCTCAAGAAGAAGAAGGGTGCTGCCTACTTTGAGCTGGATGAGGACTTGACAGAGGAGTGGGTCAAGTCTCATCAGGAGTTCCTCGTTGAGGACCAGAAGGCCAAGATCAACAAGAAGTTCGAAAAGGACAATGAGAAGCGGATAGCCGATGGCGAGAAGCCTCTGCCTGCCAGCGAGCTCAAGGAGCGACTCAAGGCGGCATCCGAGCTAGAAGCCAAGTTCAAGAAGGAGAACAAGACCAAGAAGGTCGAGGCTGAAGGCAAGGGTCCTTCTGTCGAGAAGCTGGAGGCAGCTCTTTTGAAGCTTGATCAACGTATCCAGACCCTGGAGCTCCAGTCCGCGGATCGTGAAGGAAACAAAGAGGTTGCTCTTGGCACCTCCAAAATTGTAAGTTGGATGGGCTTCCCATCAACATGCATAGTAGGATGCTAACTCTCTATCACAGAACTACATTGATCCCCGTCTTACGGTCGTCTTCTCGGCCAAGTTTAATGTGCCTATCGAGAAGTTCTTCTCCAAGACGTTGCGCGAAAAGTTCAAGTGGGCTATCGAGTCTGTCGGAAACGACTCGACGTGGGAGTTCTGAGGTTGGCCAAGCATCGTCGTTCGAATTCTGAAAAGTCATTCAAACAAGCCGTTTCTATAGACAACAACATGAATGTTCACGTTGTTATTATGCGCCTTTCACTCAATCATACACGGAATAGCCTTGCTAGACCCTTTGGTGATCGTCATACTATTTTCACTTGGGACATCGTGGATTTCGTTAGAAAGCTTGCTGGACGCAGATGCCAGAATTACAAAAGCAAGCGAAGCGAAGGTTGTACGCTGTCTCTCAATGGTTGTAGAAATGAGGGAGGCAATTTGCTTGCCTTTTGATGAGTTATATGGGGTTCCCAACCGCATTGCGCATAGTTTGCTCTCTGAAGATGGAGTTACGGAGGCCGGTGTCTTCTGAAACCAAAAATGAACCATCGTTAACAGTGAATAAGATCGACCACCGTCATCGTTAGTTATCACGCGCACGCCTGTTGGCGAGGATAGAAATCACTAGAGGTAGGGAGATAATGGTATGTGCAAACACAAGATGAGACAAAGATGCCAGAAAGCGATTGCGTACGTGCCCAAGCAAAAGAAATCTACCGTTTGAATGCTCGCGAAATTGTCCAACTTGCGTGTGTGAGGTGTCTATCGTGCTGTAAGTACAAAATTACCCATACCATATAGGTTCATCATCATTTCCCCCCATCAATCATATACATTTAATACTGACGTCGCCGGTACATATCAGATCTCCATCAAGCCAGAATTCTCTAAGTAAACGCCGTATGAGGTAAAACGCCCAAAACCAAATTCATCTTGACGCCTGCAAATGCATCGTGCTGCTGACTCCTCGCCTCTGATCTCCGATAGAGAAGAAGACCCAGACGATTATCGAGCAACGCAAAGACTTAGTATGTTGTCATGCCACTCAAGATTTACTCTCAAGCCAAACACCCAACAAAGGCAGCAAGAGCCACCGTCACAAGCGACGTAGCAACCAGCAAGCCCTGCGGCGGCCTCGCCATTGCGCTCGCCGCGCCAACAGGCACTATCTTCCCATCTGGTTTCATGACCCAGCCCTCAGGAATCGACCCATGGGTGCTGCTGCCGCTGCCACCATTAGAACCCGACGCGTCCCCACTGGCCGACCCGATGCCGCCCACGGGCACCGAGCCCCCCGCCGACCCCGTGCCCGTCGCCGCCACCGCGCTAGCCGTCACCGTAACCGTGCCGGCTTTACCCAAGTTCCCGTTCACCTTGCCGCCCTCGGCAATGATGCTCTGCCACGTGCCGCTCGTGTCGCCGTACCGGTACGACTTGCCCGTCGAGTAATCGCTGACCATGACGCTCTTGACCGTCATGCTGAAGGGCCCCTGGCTATAATCCGTCGGGCCGTGGGCCCACTGGATGGTCCCCGGTGAGTTGGCGCTATCGCCCCCGGACCAGGCGCCGAATTTCACCTGCATGGGACTCTGCGGGTACTGGCCCCCCGCATCATTGACGGTCAGGACCCGCACAAGAGTGCCGCCCACGTACCACGAGATCTTCTCCGAAGTCCAGTCGATCGTGTACTTGATGAACTGACCCTGGCTGTTGGGGGCCGGGTTGAACTGTCCCCGGTCGTAGCTGGCGGTTTTTCCTTGGAAGAAGAAGTTGGTTTGCACGTATGTGTTGTCCGCGCCCAGCCACTCAAAGTCGATCTCGTCAAGGTCATCGGATTGGAGGACCACGGAAGAGACGATGCCGGCGCCGGGGGCCGCCTTCATGGTTATTTCAACCCGCCCGAACATTATGTAAAAGATGGAGGTTAGCTGCGGGGAGTCGCCGGATTTGGCGACGGTGAAGGAGACTCCGTCGTTTCTTGAGTAGGAGGGGGTGCCGCCGGAGGGGTTAAAGGAGTTGACAGCGCCTTGGGTGAAGTCGACATCGATGGCCATGCCGAGGGCGGTGTTTGGAGGACAATCGGCTAAGGGGCGGTTAGTGTTAGACATGTCTTTCTTTTTGGCTATGTGAGTCTGAGATGAAAAATGGCTTGAGGGACATACTTCGCTGTGTTGGGTTACATGCTGTCCATGTTTGTGCGGAAGCTACACTTGCGAAAGCAGCTGTCGCTGTTGTCACCGCTGTTCGCCAACTTAGGGACACCATGGTTGTTGTTTCGCGATCCCAGGTCTTGTGGTGACACAGGGGAACTAGAAAGAATTATTCGAGAGCTTTGGGTTGAAGAGGCAACCAATGTTTGGGTTTTTTCTTCTTTTTTTCTTCTTCTTTCCTGGTCTTCGAAGTTTCGTCGGTGTTCTCGATCGCGGGGTGAGTTAGTAGGACGGACTTGTGTGAGCGGTGATGAGATGGTGGAGAACTCAAAGCCGAAGCAGCGGTCGCAAGTCCGAACGATATTCGGGGTTGATGGGTAACGACAGCAAGTCTGAGTATAAATTGACAGACTTGTTGGTGTATGACGACAGATGGGACGACAGTTTAACGAGTGATGATGGTCAACGGTCCCAGAAGTGGCAGTAGTTTCGTTATGTGTATAAACAGGAAAGAAGGGTCGCGGGATCTTGCATGACACTCGCTTGCCCTGTTCCCGGACTTTCGAAGGGATCAAATCAGGGTATCATCGAATGCTACTATAATGCGTAAACGCGCGTGGTGGAAACAGAAAAGGAAGGCCGGGAATCCAGAATCCTAAAATCACACTCTCCGATCACATCGATCCTTGTGGGAGGAGGCCTGGTTAGACTGGCTGAACGAAACGGCCTAGGTCTTGTCCCAGCCTCTCACAAGTCACCAACCTGCCAGAATCGGCATCGTGGACTCCCCACCATCAGCTCTCTTTGAGTGCCTGGGCTTGAAGCGACGGAGCCTGTTCTTTCAAGGGACCGCTGGGACTTTGAACTGAGAGCGCCATCAGATAACAACTTTCTGGCTGTTTGCACAAGTTTAGTCACGTTTCGCATGGTCAAAATTTCCTTCAAGAAACAATATAGCAATGTTTGTCGATCTTTGCGTATGTCAGAATTAGGTTGGAATCATTCCTTTCTTCTTCTTTTTTACTTCTTCTTTTTGGAAGGGGGGAAGAGGATGGGGGGTGGTTAGGGAGGTACAGGCAAACGCTGCTGCTTGTGCTGTTGCACTGAGATTGGATAGGTATTCCACACTGCCACCGCTGCCATCATTGACCAGTGAATCGGGTGGTTGGGAGTGGGTTTTGCTGAAGTGTGACGGGCCCGCCAACTCCAATCCCGCGTGAAAAGTATTCGGTGGTTCTGGCTCCATTGTGGCTCAGAATCCTCGGCGCCGCTTCTCCGTTAATGCTCCACTTTTCCGTAGGTTGTCTGGTTTTCCGCTGGGCGGGTTACTCCCGTTGCGCTCCACTTCGGACGGAGTCCCACGTTGCCTCGACACCGCATTGTTGACTACTGTCGTGATGGGGAAAGTGCAAAAAAAGGGGGCAAGTCATCGCAAGTGATGAAGACACTGCTTACATTTCCCCTGAACAATGTCAAGCACTCCTTACATGGGCACCTGCATGCATTGAGGTGGCTCCTTCTTAACAATGATCGAATTGACCAGAGCGCGGTCTTCAGTTGTTCTCAGCCATCGATTTGTTGAACTCTGTTCATCTTTCTTTCGACTCTTCAAATCACAGATGCTTTAGTCTCGTTCTTCGCTAGTGACTTCTTCACTCCAGTCTTTGAAATGCCGATCAGGGCCTTCCGAGGACTTGGTTTCTCGTCTTTACTCTGCTGTCTTTCATCAACATGCGGATGGTAAATACATGGCCCCTTCTTGATCATTTGCCCGATGTTTTCTCTCGTCCATGTCTGAACTTCGATTCTGACAGCTGTATTTTCCAGAAAAAAGTCAAGTCGACGTGATCAAAATGTCCTCTTTCTTTGTTGCTGGCCAAAGGAGTAACCGTTGAAGCCGCGTCGCTTGCTCGTCCGAGCAGCACTGAGTGCTTCTAGGACGACTGACACCCAACCAGAAAATCTCTTTTCCGTCAACCACAAACTATGCCGAAACACTGGATTCTGCGCGTGGATGGCCTCCGAAGATCCAAGAAGGACTATCCTTACATCCCGAGTCAACGCGGAGATTCTCTTCGAATAACCTTGGAATTCGGACGAAGCCAAAAAGGTTGCATCCTCAGCTTATCATCCTGCAACAACTTCAGGTCACGTCCTGCCATCGAGTCATTTTTTTGCTTGGTCGAAGAAACTATTGCCAATCGCTTAATAGCATGTCCGAAGCTTCGCAACAAGATATTCGGACGGAGGTGCGGTGGGCTGGTGTTGTCTCGCAAGGGCTCTCACACAAGCATATGACTGCAGTGCACAAAAGGGGAGCATTTCTCTGCTGTGGCGTTTGATACAGGAGTAGGAAGGTGAAAGCATGTAGAAAAGGTCTCTATTATCGACATGTTGTGGTCACGATTGAGATATCTGGTGTCGGTGTGGTGATACAGATACTGGTGGAATGTACGGTTGACAACAGACTTAAGCTGCACTTAAGATGAGAGGTAGTCTATGTACGGGCGACGAGTCTGGGCGGTATCTAATAGCGGCATGTACATACACGTGTACCTACTACGAGTTGGCCACACCGCATGTGCACACAGGGTCGAGTCGATTTTCTGTTACGTACAGCCACCGAAGTTCATTCCTCAACTTGAATGCTTCGAGGTCACTTGATGTCGACATTCTTTGCGATCCCGGCGAGATCGCAACTTCGATAGACCCCTCAAAGTTTCTCAGAGCCACTCCACTTCAAGCCCCTGTTTGCCTTTGGGTAACAGCGGCTAACAGCGGAGATGTCATCCTCCCCGCTATCGGCTCATGGTTATCTTCAAATATTTTCAATCCACTTCAAAGATCGAGTCATCTTTTCTGTGACTCCATCTACCACATTCATATGAAACCGGAGTATTTAACTATCAGCCCCCTCACATTTTGAATTGTATACTACACTGAACATCAATTACATAGACTTTGCGGAGCAAGTACACGGATCCCGGCCGACATTGCGGAGTTCAACCCATCCGTTCCCCGAAATTCATCAACACTACACCCGGCCACAATGGGGGAAGCACTCATCAACGGCTCCGGCGCCGTCTCCAACGTCAGTGCTTTGGAAACGCTTGGTCCCGCAGCCAAGCTAACGGACGCCGACCCTTCTGAGATCCCACCTGCATCAGGCCCCGGCCGGGAGAATGCAGTCACCATCAGCGACATCCTCGAGAGGCGTGCCAAAGCCGGCAGACTCATTGCACCGACCGCTTCGTACTCGGATAGCGACATGTTCAAGGGACCGGTATGTCTTTGAGTCAATGGACCCTACCCTCAACCCTGCTCCTACCTATCTTATCGTATTCTCATCCACCGTAGCAAGTAGGAAAACCCAAATCCAAGTCTATGAACCGTAAGTTTCCCCCTTCTTAAGCCCAGTACATCTGGTCAAGTCACTATAAAATTCTTACAACCCCTTAGATCACCTCTCCGCCGAATCCCTTTCTCGCCACCCCTGTGCCCTTAAACAAGCCGCCCGCCACCTCAAAAACCCCGGCATCATCTCCCTCGGCGGCGGCCTTCCCTGCGCCGAGTACTTCCCCATCGAATCCATCACCCTCAAGGTACCCACACCGCCTCACTTCTCCGAAGCCGCCACGTCCCAGTCCGGGGCCGAAGTCCGCATCGGCAAGTACGACTCCACCCACCCTTCCATCCAGGGCACCTACGACCTGGCCGTTGCGCTCAACTACGCACAAGCCGGCGGCTCCGCCCAGCTGTTGAGGTTCGTCACTGAGCACACTGAATTGGTCCACAACCCGCCTTACAGTGACTGGCGGTCCTGCCTGACGATCGGCAGCACGGGTGCTCTGGAGCAGACTCTTCGCATGCTCTGTGACGGGCCGGGGAGGCGTGATTCTATCTTGACGGAGGAGTATTCGTTCTCCACGGCTCTGGAGACGGCGGGGCCGTTGGATTTGAAGGTGGTGGGTGTCAAGATGGATGGGCAAGGGTTGTTGCCGGAAGCCATGGATGAGCTTTTGTCGAACTGGAATCCGGAAGAGAGAGAGGGCAGGAGGAAGCCGCATGTGCTGTACACGGTGCCGAGCGGACAGAATCCCACGGGCACCACGCAGGGGTTGGAGAGGAGGAAGCAGGTGTATGAGGTGGCGAGGAAGCATGATTTGTTTGTGATTGAGGATGAGCCGTATTATTACCTTCAGATGCCGTTGGAGGAGTCCAAGGAGACGGAATCGGGGACCACGGCTGCGAAAGAGGGCGAGGGCAAGGAGGAGGAGACAGTGGAATCCTTCATGTCCTCACTCATCCCCTCCCTCTTGTCCCTGGATGTCGATGGCCGCGTCCTGCGCATGGATTCCTTCTCCAAGGTGGTCGTTCCGGGGTCGCGTGTCGGGTGGGTGACGGCCTCGGAGAATATCATCGAGCAGTACCTCCGGCACGCCGAGGTGTGCAACCAAGGCGCCAACGGCATCTCACAGGTGATCCTGTACAAGCTGCTGGACGAGCAATGGGGACATGAGGGGTACTTCAAGTGGTTGATGAATCTGAGGCAGGAGTATACCAAGCGGAGGGATACCATGGTGACGGCGGCTGAGAAGTTCTTGCCCAAGGAGGTGGTGAGCTGGACTGTGCCTGTTGCTGGCATGTTTGTAAGTTTTTTTGGCTTGGTTTTCGACCCCTACCTATGGTGGTGAACTTGGATACCAGTATGGACGATACTAACATGACGTTCTGTAGTACTGGCTCAAGATCGACCACTCCCAGCACCCCGGTATCCAGGCTGGGAAAGGCATTTTGGAAGTTGAAGAGGAGATCTTCAATTCTTGCATTGCCAGGGGCGTTTTGGTCGCTCGAGGATCTTGGTTCCGCGCTGAACAAGATACAGAGCCGAACGAGCTCTTCTTCCGCGCGACGTTTGCGGCAGCAACGGCCGAGAACATGACAGAGGCAATTAGAAGGTTTGGAGAGGCCATCAGAGAGAGCTTCAAGTTGTGATCAGTGTCATGGTTGGCTATTGATGGAACATGATTTTTGGTGTAAAGCGTTCCTTTTGGATATGGGTACGACATTGGCATAGAGCAAGTTTACAAGAACTGGTAGCCAACATAAATGGAGTAGCGAAACGTTGTACTTGATGAGAAGTACCAGTGGTATTATGAGCAAAGAGATGAACCGCCTAAACCGGGGATGCCAAAGTCTTCCGTCGTAGGTAGGTATATACAATGCTACTGGTTCAAACAAATCATTCCCGCTTCGCCTCAAAGAACGCGACCTTGACTCCATCGGCAGGCATCAAGACAATATCAGTCTTCATCCTCGGCTTGCCTCCATCAATTTCATCCATGTAGCTCACCACCCGGTCGTATCGCTGGAACAGTCGCGTCAGCACATATCCCATCTCGGTAAGGGCGAATTGCTGGCCGATGCAGATACGGGGGCCTCCGTTGAACGGGATATACTGCCACGGCTTAGGCTGCCAGTGGAACCAGCGGTCTGGAGAGAACATCTCAACATCTGGGAATTTCTCGCTGACGGGAGGGTACAGATCGGGTCGGCGCTGCATGGTAAGAGGGCTATAACCGATGGGTGTATTCTTGAGAATAGCAATTGGCTGAGAGCCATCAGGACCACCGCCACGGGGGAGAGTAGTGTCCTTGAGGGCCATCCGTACACTGTACACGAAGAAAAGAGTTAGGAAACAATCATCTTGTTAAGAAAGAGGTTTCGGGGAGACTTGCTTGAAAGGAACTACGGGGTACAGCCGCAGAGTCTCGTTCATGACATTTTGAAGGTACTTCATGCTCTTGAGATCGTCATATGTGGGAGCGCGGTCAGGTCCGACAACGGAGAGGATCTCGGCGCGTAGCTTCGCCACAGCTTCGGGATGGCGGGCGAGCTCGTATATTGTCCATGAGAGGGTGCAAGCTGTTGTGTCACGTCCGGCAAGGAGAACGGCCATCAGCTGGTCGTGCAACACTTGGCGGTTTTTGGTGAAACCAGCAAGGGCATGGAGAAAAGTGTAGCCCTCGTCTCCCTTGGACTTGCTCGCGAGCTCCTCCTCGTCAAGTCGAAGGGCGCGATCAATGTAGAAGTTGATAGTCTCGTCGATGACTTTCAATCCTTCCCAAAAGGTCTTTCTCGGTACAAAACGGTTGAGAGGTCCGGCCCTGGCGATGAGGATCTGCACCCGTTGTACCTCCTGGAACGCGTCGGCAAAAGGTTGTACCGGGGTACTGTTTTCTGTCAGCAGCCTAACATATAGGGAAAGAGGCATCGGGTAGGACAAACCTCAACGACTTGATATCTTTGCCAAGCAGGAAATCGGTGGCGGCATCCAAAGTGTAACGAAAGAAGAGATCGCTGATATCGACCGGCTTTCCATTACCAGCTTCCATGTCGACCATCTGATCCTCACCATTTAGGGCTCCTCCATTGGCGATTGTGCGGAAAAGCATTTGCATATGATTTTCAAAACATTGCAAGTCACTGACACGGTTCTTGATGAATTGGGGACGGATTAGTTGACGGCTGGCATGCCAAAGATCGCCATCGGTCGTGAAGATGCTGTCACCCAAGAAATCCTTCCACTCCTGATGGAAGCCTTCGCCCTTGCCGTAGTCTTCAAACTGGGTGGCTAGAATAGCCTTGATGTTTTCCGGCTCCGAGGTAAAGATAATTCGATGACCAGCAAGCCTAACCTCGCCAGTGTACCCACCAATACTTCTGAACATCTGCTGCCAAAACTGGAGGGTTTTGTGCTCAGCTGCCATCTTAATGGTGGTCCTGATGAACTTGATGCCTTTATAATGGTTAGTATGGTCTGATCTTTGTTGGAGGATGCCAAACGGGTAGCTCACCAAACAGTCCACTGTCGCGGATCTTGGGAGGCCGCAAACCCATTCTGGCGATTCTGAAACTCTGCCATACTACCTGCAAGTATCTAAAGACTATCAAGCCGAGAAGCACCCCGCCAAATATGATCGGGGTATTCTTCAAGGAGAGGTTCCCAGCGACGTCTTCGACTAGGCCCATTGTGACGGTGATAATGGTATGAGAGCAAGTCTCAAAAGCCTCCCTCGGCCTTGGAAGTTTTGGAAAGACTTGGCTCACAGCTTCAGTGAGGTGAAGTCAAAGGTATGATAGGAAGGTGGAAAGTATATTGCCAAAGGATGAGTAGAAATGGACATGATCATGGGTTTCCCCCATGTTGATTGGGGAGTAGGACAGATAATATAGAAAGAGAAGAGTACGAAAAAAAGAGGAGGGGCATCAGAATGTAGTGATCTGTCGTAGGCGGGGATACATCCTCTGCAGCCATGCGGAAGCCCACCACCTACCACCCTAGCCGGACACTAGTTCTAGGTACAAAGGTGGCAGGCCGGGGTTGAACGGGACAACAATAGTGAATACGGGACACGAGAGGAAGCAAGTCTTTGAAACATAGGACCTGTCCACTCGTCAGGTCTACAAAGCAAAACTGACCGTCTGACTAGTGGCGGGCCGACGAGTAGTACCCCAGGTTCGGATATTATCCAAACCCGCCAACGTGATGTTCCCGTTGAGTCCGAGACAATTTTCTGCGTATTGTGGACGAAAGCGTACTGGAACCATTCCGACGGAATGATACCAAAGTCCGCCTCCCTCATCCTGGTAGAATCTCCTCATAGCCATGCTGTCAAGTCAGTAACAGGAGCTGTCGAGCAAGAATGAATGACGGGAAGGTTGATCTTGGCCAGCCCGCACGGTCCCAGTGATGGACATCGATCCGTCCAATTGCGCCTGCAGTTTTCTAAACTTTGACTGGGGCGGCAGGCAGCAGGGAGGCTTTCTTGTCGCCGAGAAAGATCTGAAAGAGGGGAAGTGATCAGGCCGGACGAACTAATAGGAAACGGCACAATGGTTGAGCCGCACATGGTAATGATTCACGTACAACTTGAAGCGACATGTGCGACTGCCGCACAGGGTAGGAAGGTACAACTTACAAAACTGTGTAGCATCGCGGACGACTGGGCTCTTTCTCTTTAGTGCTGTTTTCTGTCGGAACACAATGGGAAGTTTGTAGATCCGGCGCCGAATGATAGCGGCTGTGCCGAGCGGATTCCGCGGGTCTCTCTCCCATCAGTCATCCATCTTGACGTCCAACACCATGCCCGGCATCAAACACCGGTTCGCGGTTATACGTTCGGCGTGTCTATCTACCCGTCGGACCGTTGCACAGTGCCAACTAACGTGTCGAAGGTTCCACCGCCAAGGAGCATGAAGGTGCGAGCCCCATCACGGCAGCGGCCTCTGCATCAGCATCGTTCAACCCTTCGAGGTAAGAACTTTGATTTTTCGCCCAAGGGCGTGTCCGATGGTCTGGAAATAGGAATGGTGGTCCGTATTAGGTACTTCCACTTGGGGGTAAAACGGGCTGATTCATAGTCCCCAGTTATTCCAGGTTCGATTCCCAGAATCCTTACCTAGGTAAGGTATATACGCAGTAGATGTGAGTTTCAGAATAGTTGTCAATACTTTTTGGATGCTTTTTGACGACAAGGAATGCACCAATCAATGGCCAATACGGCATCCCCGAGCCCAAGTTTCCAGGTCATTGGACACGCTCTGAAAAAAACCTACAATAGCCTCTTGAGTGTACTACCCATCTGGTAGTACGTCTCTAGTGCTACTATAGATACCGGTCTGCACGACATCGTACTACCCGAACCCCAAGGGAGTCTGTGTTTGCGGCACTTTTGTCTTTCTTCTACGAGATTGATGGCGTCCCATGATTCCGGGAATGTTTCTCAACCGAAAAAATGGATGGGAGGTCCAGTGTACGGGTAAGCTGAAGTGCACTACACTAATAGAAATTTGCAAAGTAAATACATTTTCAGGTACCGTCCTTACTTCTCCACGAGGCAAGAAGCCCCTCGAGGCACCGCAGAACGTGATTTGCTGCTCCACAATGGAAGCGGATTGGCGGGCGGCCGAACCCGATACCACAGTACACTTCTGAGACACACCAGGTCACTTCATACTTCCTTCTGCTTTACACACTTGGCGATTATGGTTTGTTTGCTTCTCCATCGAACCTACACTCTTTGGCACAAGAACAGCTAACTGGATAGCACAACAAAAGAGTCGCCGTATGGAGTGACTGCAAAGAAATAGCTCGGCGAAGTTCCAGCCATCATATCGATGTCTCCTTCGATATTCGGTGCTCCTTCAACAAACCGCCTCGGCCGAGATGGCTCACTGCAGTGATTGCCCTACTCGTGCCTCCAGGTCATCTGTCTGGCTTAGGTCTTTTATCTTTCACCCCCATGACACCACCATTCGACATCATCGACACATCACACAATGGGTAGGCGGACAAGAAACCAGAAACCATTGTCATAGATGGATGATTGCTTGGCTGTTACATCCCGCAAACCTCCAGATCCAGAACTTCAGATGATCGCTTCTTTGGAACTGGGCACTGCGAAACCCGGCTCTTTCGTCAGCCATAGCTTTCTCGTTTTGATCACATAGGTTAGCCGCTTGGGGATCATCCCGACCCTGGTGAACAGCACTCACTTATGACAGATAAAGCTGGGGGCATCCTGGGCATGGTCGATCAGCAAGAAGATCCCGGTTTTCTGTCATCGACGGCCGTGAGCCAAAGACAAATACGACCAGCGAGAACAAGGCTGCCCTGGATGGCATTCTAAAACCTCTCAGACATAGCAAGGTATGCGACCCTTATCTCTCTGCTAGGAAAACTTGAGCAGTGGTCGGGCTGTAGTAGAACCTGTTGGACAAGTGTCACAGAAAAGCCATGATATGTAGAGCAATTTTCGAAACGTTCCGATGTTGATTACGACTAAGCTATGTTCACAGCCGCAAGAACAAAACACAAGCAGCGCAAGGCCCGCCTAATCCCTTACTGCGTTCTTAAACCAAAGAACGCCGCATCCCCAATTCGATTGTATCATCCGTATCCAGCAACGGCACGGTCGAGTCACCACGCGGCCCTCCGTTCCATTCTCAAACCCGCGGATACTCGCACGACTTGCCCGTCGGATCCTGCGTACACCACGTCATGTACACGGACGACGACTGCACGCCCCTGGCAACCAAGCGCTCCCTGAGCTCCGACAGCCTCGGCGCCGCATCGAGCTGCGTCCGGTTCTGGCCTGTGGCCGGGTCGATGCGTCCGGACCAGAGAACCTCGCCAGCAGCGCTGGCCCGCGGCCAGATGATGGTGTCGAGGGCGATGGGGTCAATGGACTCGGCCCACACGGCCACCTCGCCGCCGAGGATGAGCTTGGCCTCTTCCTCGGTCAGGTTGGCGGCTGGGTCGTACGAATAGACGTGGCGCCAGCTCTTGTAGGGGTTGCACCAGTCGAGGAAGGGCGAAAAGGCGGCGTAGTCGGCATTGTCAAAGTTGAGCCATTGGCCGCGGCCGCAGTCGAGGTACTGAATTTTGGTTATTTGTCAGCTTCTTTTCTTCGCTTTTCTACTTGCCCTTCAAATATCATTGCTTCCCCCCCGCGTCCCTTGCGTTTTAATTCTTGTCTTCCAGGCTCCAAACAAACATCGAGATGAGAGTCAACTTACCCAAAAGTTGTAATTGCTGTCAATCACCTTGTGGCCTCTGCTGGTCAAGTTCTTGACCGAAGACTGACCAAGCCACGTCTGCACCACGACATCCTTGCCAAGGTTGATATTCCACTCGATCGGAATCTCCTCCCAAGTGAGGGGCGTCAGGCCCTCCTTCCTGATGCGCTCGTGCTGCTTATCGACGAACCTCTGGAGCAGCGGGCGCAACACCTCAGTATCGTTCGACTTGATGCCCTCGTCCAGCATCGAGTCGTTCCTGTTCAGCTCGTCCCCGCCAGTGTGGAAGTAGGCCGAGTACGGCGCAACGCGGGGCAGCAGATCGTCCCACAGCTTTCCGAGAAAGTCGTCGACCTTGGTGTCGTTGAGCTTGAAGGCGCCGCAAGGAGGCTCGACGCAGTACCACTGATACGGCCACAGGTCATATGCGACAATGAGGTCCGGGTGCGAGAGCGACAAGGACCCGATGTGGCCCGGCATGTCGATCTCAAAGTACACCTGCACGCCCCGGAGGGCACCGTACTTCTGAATGAGGTCGATGTCGGCGGGCGAGTACGTCTGGCTCGAATGGTAGGCGCCCTTCTCGGCCACCTCAGGCATGGAGATGATCTGAAGCGGCCATGATTGCGAATCGGTGACGTGCACGTGCAGCCGGTTGAGCTTGCTGGTGGCCATACCATCAATGGTCCGGAGGATGTTCTTGACGGGCATGAATGTGCGCGCAACGTCGAGCAAGATGCCGCGGTGCGGGTACTTGGGCTCATCCTTGATCTCAACGGGCGCGTACGGCGTGTACCACGAGGTGCCGGTCGAGTGCTGGTAGAAGAGCTGCGTGAACGTCTCGAGACCGTGCAGCACACCGATATAAGAGTCGGCCGTCAGCTTGACGTCGCCCTCGACGCTGAGGGTGAGGCTGTACGCTTCGCTGACCTCGCCGGCCAGTGCGGGTTTGAAGCTGGTTTTGGCATCTTTGGCCGTCTGATCGATCTCGAGCGACTTGATCCAGTTCTGACCCTTGTACAGGTCGGGCTCGAATTCAGACAGCTTTCCGCGGGGCTGAAGCATCCAGGGGACGATGTTCCTGGAAAAGATGGAGCCCAGCGCGCGCGATACGCCGGCATGGACGATCTCTTTGCTACTCAAGCTTGAGGTGGAATAGTCTTCTTTGTAGATGAGCTGTTGTTGCGCTGGTGTTTTAGTGAACAGGCCCTCATAGCCCGGACCAGCAGATCCGCCCACGTTGTTGGATGAAGAGAGAAAGAAAGAGGAGGAAGAGGAGGAGGAATTTGGGCGCCTTACAGGTTCTCCATTATAGGTAACGTTGATCTTCGGATGCAGGTACAGACTTGAGTTGCCCTTGGTGAAGCTCTGCGGTGCCGGCCATATCGCGGATACTGGTTCGAGGAGGGCAACGAGTGAGACTGCAAGCAGCCTCAGCGAGGGCACAAAGACCATTTCTTGACAATCAGTTCGGAGTGTTGTGAAATCTCGTTCAGATTGTCAATTCCAGTAATTGAACGAGGGTGATTCGACACGATATACGAGGTGATGCAGATATCGGGCGTGAACGATTTGAGCCAAAGGTACGAGGTTGACGAATTGGAGGACAAGGCCCTGAGAACAAGGGAAGAGGTTCTCTTTTAAGAACGTTATACAAGGGCTGGAACTTGGTAAACAGAAATGTGAGGGCTTAGAAGGAGTGGCTTGGTTTTTTATATTGGATGAGAGAGTGATCATCCGAAAAGCGGTTGAACCTTTAAACGTAAGAAGGGCCGGTGACCAATCGGACAGGGGTATCTACCCTGGTGGCCTGCCCCTTGTTGTTGTGTTGCAACACAGCAGGTAGTAAAGACAGACGGATCATGGATGACCATCCGACCATCCTCCATCATATTGCTGTCTTGTCCTGTCTTGTATTGTCTTGCCTTTTCTGTCGGAAAACCTGCATACGCCGTCCCTCTACATGCAGTTACAAGTGTTACCTCAGCCTGACTGCCCTGGGCTTCCTGTTGTTGATTCGCAGGGTTCGTTGGCAAAACTAAATAGTTGGCAGGTAAGTATCTGCAGTGACTAACTACCAACATGGTATGCTGAAAAAGCAACACGCGAGAAAGATGGGACGCAACGAATAAGCGACTGTCAAATAGATCAGTTAGGTTGGATGGCCAGACGAGACTCGGTGGTGGATCACAGATCACAGCCGCCGCTCAGGGTCAGGTCAGGGCAGTACAACAGGGTATGCTAACCCCTAGAAAACCTCCATAGATCAAGTCAAAAAAAGAGTCAAGAGACAATAGACAACGAAGCTGTTGGAAAAGAAGGCCTGTACGCTATCAATTGGGCCACTCAAGAAAAAATCAACTCGAAAGATGAAAGGGATGTAACCCTCCGTACGCAGTAAGCAGTACGTGGGAACAGGAAGCTCGTACATACACTCACTAGTACCTAACCCCCATCCAGCCCATGGCACTCCGCGTATTTGCGCCGTTGATGAGACTCTTTTGTTCAATTAGACCATTGACCCATAGAAAGTTCTTTGTTTGTCGCTTTGGATGTTCGATTTCTTGGTGTTTCTGATTTTTTGCCGCGTCATGTGTCGGAAGTAAGATGGTAGAGGTGATGTCCCAACATTATACTTGTTGGTTGTGGGTGCAATCGCTTTGGGGGATCGATGTAATGATGTAATGTGCTTGGTTCGCCTCTTTCAGAAAGCAGCTCACTGCTGTTCGTTGCAATACAGTGTACTGTGTACAACTCTGCCAGCATCAAACTTGTTAGCGCAAAGCCGCCACCATACAGTATTCAGGGGTTCAGATGTGGTCAAACCAGCCATCTTTTGTACGAAGACCAGAATCCCTCACACTTGCAAATCACCGCGCTAACAGGGCCAATGCCGGCAGAGGTGTACAATTGCGAAACGCTACGTCAGAGGAATTTAAGCTTAGTGGACCTAAGTTTTGGAATAACAGCTTCATGGGAGACATGGAGACGTCTTTTTGGTCGATGGCGAAGTGTGCGAAGAAGAAAAAGATCGAACAATATCTGGTATGTTTTAGTGCAAGTGTGTTCGGTGCCAGTGGTGGTGGAGTGGTGGCAGTACCTACATCACAGGTAGAGGTACGTAGCCGGTAATGTATGTATACCGATAAAGTCACTCCCGTGCGGAGGACTACACTATATGGGTTGAGGTTCGCGGACGGTGGGCCCCAAGTACGGTAAGTTACACCACAGCTTTTTCTGGTCGGTAAGCCACACGTTACTACACTACACTATGCATATGCTCTCTCCCTGTGCTCTTGGGCTTGGCTGTGAGCTGAATGGAAATCTTGTGATGCCATGCCACAATGAATTGCGCCCCGGAACGGAGTTAAAGAGGGGCGAAAGATGGTTATTTATTACTTGGATCGTACATGGAAAAGGCTTTGGGCGGTGGTGCTTCCGAAAAGAGTGACACGATTGTAGTTGATTTCTGATTGTTCACCACACCTCCCACGTTCACGATACTTCCTGCGTGTCCTGCTTCTGGCAACTCGAGCCTCAATGTAGGGCGAAGGCGGTGTTCTGGCATTCCGGCATACTCTGCCTCGTAGTGACAGATCTTGAGGTCGGCCCGGGTCGTTGGTTCGCTACTGTCCTTCTCTAGTGTTTACATGTTAGCAAAGCCGCAAGGGGCATGCGTCTGGAACGAGGATGTCTTGTCCAACGAGGAGGGAGGGGTGGTTTATAAATAATTCTTAGTGGTTGCACCGCAGTTAGAGGGATCCTGTTGTCGGGCGCCACTCAGCTGCCCTACTTGATCTGTAGCGCTGCTCGTCTGTGATGAGCCACGATGCAATCCTTTTCTTTTCCTCCTGCTGATCTGGGACCTGAAAGGATGAACACGCTTGCTGTATTCGAGGAAGAGGTAGTAGAGAAGGCATCGGTTGCTGCTCAGCTGCCCGAATCCTTCCAAGCAGTTTCGACGACGGACCGAGTGGAACTCAAAAGGGCATCCCGATCCGCTCGTAACACGTCAGGTTTCGGTGTGCTTTTTGTAGTGTACCACGCTTCAGCGCAACAAGGCCCATGCGTCTTGACCTAGCAGAATACCACAACATCGATATCCCGTCAAGGGCCCACCGAGAGAGAGCAGACCACGGAAGAACGGCTATCAGTGTTGTGAACTGGGTGACTGCCTGGGCTTCAGCTGATCTGGCGGTAGACGGCGTCAAAAGTTGGAATTATGAGGGGGATCGGAGCAAAGGTAGCTCGAGGCTCGAGTTCGTATCGTCAATCTTTCGTGCCCAGTCAAATGTGGAATTTGTTCCCATGTATACTATATGATGTCGGTATGGCAGAAGTGATATAGACGGCACACGCTGTAGATCTACAGATGTCGTCCTCGGGCAAACATGGTGCGGAAGTGGAAGGTGGGATACATAGTCTGATCAAGCACCGTTGTGCTATGTGCACCCACGGAAAACGTTCTTCCCCGCTGCCCTGCCAAGGCTTTATAAGCTAGGTCGTATGTGGATCGTGCAGTGCTCTAGAATAACGTTGATGGTGCGCGTTCGGGGTTCGGACATGCAAGGCAAAATCAATCAAATTGTCCGAAACTGGTCAATGACTTCATAAACAACGGCTTTGTTACGCAGTTTGTATGCGAAATTTACGTCCATACAAACAAGAAGCCCTAGAAATTGAGTGATAATGGTAAGAAATTAGATAAATGCCAAGAAACAAACTTTTCTTGTACACTGATACTACCAAGCGTATCGGTATTATTATGCAGGATAGGCCGATAGCAGTCGATGTTAAGGTCCTTCGCTGGAACTAGTACACTGGTAGCCGCTGTATCATTGAATCCGAACACAGCAGGTATGTGTTATGTGTAATTTAATAGCAATAGCCGGTTCAGCCATTTTCCGGAATTGAAAAGACCTTTGCTTATAAAAGCGAGTCAAAAGTGACGGAACCAAGTGGACCGGACTGGATTTACCCAGTTCCTTCTTTGACAGAGGTGTTCCGTCCCTTCAATGGAAGTGAAGAGACCTGAACCAATCAGCGGGTATCACCACTATGGTCATTCTAGCCACCGACAAGCCACAAGCGCCACCTTACTGATTACACACCAGCCACAGCTGTCAGAGCAAGTCTCGAACACACGTTCAGTTCTGCTCGGCTTGGAACCAGGCTTCAAGCTCCAATTTTGAAAGCTTTATCTTCAAATCAACCTACACGATCTCTCAACCTACATCTTACGACCCGACAGCGTTCGTATCATTAGCACCCGTGCCAACTCACGATAATTTTGATAGCGCTGGTTTCCTTTGCACAGAACCGCTGCACGAGCCCCGACTGTCGCTTTCAACGTTCGCGTTCTTGACCGAGCAAGACTAAGTAAGGTCTGCACCGCCTGCGACCTTGCGCTGATCGATTTCGCCGCCGCCATCTCGACACGAATTCGTCAGCTTTCTATAGTCATCGGCTCTCCGTCGTGAACGTTCAAACTCCAAAACGACCCTTTCACTCCCGACCTCGCGCCTTCGTTCACCATCGTCCCAATAACGCCACCCCGCCGATCGTGAACCATGGCCACCGAACTCACCACGGGCACCCCTCTAGCGGATGCCCTTAATAACGCCATCCAGGAGAAAATCGTGGAAGTGGGATGGGCTGGCAACACCACCGAAGCGGCCCCTATGGCCGAATACCTCGTCCTCATGCTGGCCAACGGCAAAACACAGGATGAAGTCGCCGCCGAGATTTCTGGCGACCTTCTCAGTCTGGGACCTGACGACCCGACCGCATTGCACTTCGCTCAGTGGCTTTTTGAGCAACAAAATGCACTCATTCCACAGTTCAGCTCCGCGCCTGAGCCCGTAGCCGACGAGCAGGGCGTGATGGATACGGCAGCAGACAATTCAATGGGCGACTTTAACATGGACGTCACAACAGACGGTTCTGGCAATGAGCTTAACGCGTATGTCACTTCTCCATCAACCCTCTCCAGACCTGGTACCCTGCTAACATTGCAAAGTCCCACTGGACCCAAGGCTATGCGGAACGGAAGCGGCAACGGCATGCGCGGTGGACGGGAAAAGCGTATCATGGGCCAGATCAACCGTGCCATGGACAGGACCCACGACCCCAACGCTGCTCTGCATCGCATTCGCGGCCAGTCTGGAAACGAGAGGATAGCGCGAGGCCCTCCTACAGGCCCGAGAATGGGCGTCGGAAGACAGCCACGTACGACGAACACACGTGTTGCCAGCATCGCGCAAGGATTGGCGAACATGGGCGGCCCTGCCGGCCCTGGTGCTATGGGCCCGATGAACCCGATGAACGGCATGAATGGTATGGGCGGATTTGGCCAGCCGGACATTATGGCGATCATGGAACAACAAAGGCACATGCTGCAACAGATGCAGATGATGATGCAACAAAGTGGTGTTGCTCCCAATGGTCACGGTCCC